TTCAGGTGTGTTTCATGTGAGGATCCCTGTATACATATATATGCTTCACAACTCCAAGATTCGGACCTTCCCTAAATAAACAGACCTCAACCCCGGTTCAGAATGGGGTTGATTCCCTTTCCATTCTGTTCCACCATGGTTCTTTTCACAAACCTCTGGTTTTCCCGGGTTTTTATGCGGGTTGCCTGAAAAGAAGAAGGATCCCCGGACAGAATGGATATGGAAGCTCCCCGTATTCCTGTAGACCTGTGATTGCTTGGTGATCCCCTTAGCCTTTTAGCCTTTTGGCCTTTTTAGTGTTTAGCGGTAGTTTCCACTTAACCCACTACAAGTTATCCACTCTTAGCTGGGGATCCGAAAACGGGCAGCCCAGATTGGAGGCGTTTTAGTCCGAGCCGAGCCGGGCCGGCGAAAAAAAGCTCAGGTGATATCCACAACAGCATGCGGTGCTCATTTTCGTGGAACCCTCGTGGAACCCTCGTGGAACCTTATCTCAGGGCCGCCCCGGACCACCATGGAGCCTATCTGGGCTGAGACCCCAAAGCTTCCAGCTGTTGGGGAAAAAACGAAACGACTCCAGGCGAGAGCTTGGCCTCGCGCCGGAGGAGTGACCCCGCGAAGAGGTGTTTTTTCCCTCACGGGCGGTTTTCTAGGTCCCCCAGCAATTGGTACCCGCAGACAAATTGGGCGCAGCGGAGGTTTTTGTTGGTTTCCTCTTAAAACCCACAAAGGGTACCCTGAACAAAAGGGAAGACCCAGCAATGGGTGCCCTTTCTCACCCCCATGACAAGAAGGGCCCAAGGGGACCCAATTTGGATGATGACAATCCTGAACGGTAAACAATGGTGGTGTTCTAGGTCCCCCAGCAATTGGTGCCCTTTCTCACCCGTTTCTTTTTGGTTCTCCAGTGTTTCTACTAAAGCAGACTACAGAAAATAAGCTCAGGTGATACCCCCAACAGCATGCGGTGCTCTTTTTAGTGCTCGCCGGAACCTATCTGGGCTGAGACCCCAAAGCTTTCAGCTGTTGGGGAAAAAAGTTGGTACCAACTGATTCTATCCTCTTGGCTGGAGGACCTAGTTTTTGTTTAAGGGGAGTAGTGGTGACCACGGATTTCTTAAGTCCATTCTAAAATTACGGGGTGTTCCTTTGCAAAGGTGAGGGTTCCCCGCTAAACTTAAAATTAGCTTGGGTTGATTTATCTGGGCTCAACATGAACATCAACAAAACCACCCCATGAAATGACAAAGACGCATATGTTCACCAGCGACCCGTGTATGAGAGCCCGCTGTTGAAACGTCTTCAGGTTTTACTTGGAAGTTGCTCAACAAACCTGATCGGGTTCCACTTCTTGACAGCCGCAAGGTAGGCTTAAACTCAGGGTTTTCCCTTCGGGGGGAATCAACCACGCCTGGGTCTAAGTCTGCCTTGGGGTAGTCAAAAAGCTGTCCTGATGGTTGGCCCCCTGTCAGGCAAGTGTCTTACACCCATGTTCTTCTTTAGCTGGGGATAGTTCCCTTATGATCATGGGTTTGCCTTCAACATCCGGTCAGTCAGTGGGCTCAACATCCCAGCTTTGAGCATACCCCGCAAACCTCATGCATAGCATGGGAGGGTTGAAGTATGCTGAACAAAAAATGCGATCTTTTTTGGAATCGAACCCCAGTTACCTTGCCCCCCCACCCACGCAAAGAATCGAGGCCCTACGTGGTGTCGAAGCTTCGCGACCAAACGGTTATGATGCCTGAAGATCAGTTTCCTCTTTGCGGGATTTGCTAAGTGAGAGGGTAATTGGTTTCCTTCTTGTTCTATGTGAGACCTGTTGGAACCCTTGGTGTAAATGTGGGGGCCCTGTCCCAACTCAAGCCGAAGTTGCGGGGATTTTTGCTCAGAAACCATCCCCAAAATGTTTCTGGGCTATGTTTCGTGAGTTCAACATCTTACACGCCCCCGAATTTGCGTGAGACGAGTGAGGAGCACGGCAGAAGCCCGTCCTCTGCCAGGAAAAGGCGCGCCTTGCGATTAATCCGATCGATTGGTTCTCAACTTCGGATCTGGCGCCCGATCTTGAACCTCCGCTCGTCTTTTGGTGTCCCAAGTAACTCAAAGGGTTTTGCTGTTTCCATGCCGCACCCTGAAAAGGGTACCACCGAATACAGAAATACACACTCTTTTGGAAAAAAGAAGAAACACGTGCCAGGCCCGGTGGTTTTTGTGCGCTTCTGCGCTTCTGCGAATCCAAAATGGCGACCTTGGAACACATCGAACCTGTTGGAGGATTAGGGGGTGTTTGTGCAAAGCGTGTTTTGGTTCACCTCTAAACATGGACACCCCTTCTGCCAAGCATGTTTCCCCTTTAAGCGCGGACACCCCGTTTCAATCAACCAGAACTAGGTTTCCTGATCCTGGGTTCCCAATTCTGACTGACTGAAACCTTGACTTTCCTGAGACTAGGAGAAAGGGTACTTGGCCAGGTGGATCCAGGTGGTCAGCCACCTGGGTTATACCTGCTAATGACTGGGTTCACCCCACTAGGGTTATAACCTATCAAGAACTTACCAACTTGGCTGAACGCCCAAGTAGACGGTTGCACAACTGCATTTACCTTGCAACTTCTGTCGCACGGGCCAAATTGTGTATTCAACGTGCCCGAAATGGAAAACGGCTTTCCGCAGTATGTTTGACCCCCCAACATGCATGAGGAGTTTCTACTTACGTGTGCCTTCGCCTTAAGCCAACTCACGAAGCCAGCGCAGTAGAGATCACCCCGAATTGGTCATTCTTATTTCACCAGGTTGAATCCGAGTCCGAGGTTCATCTTTTTGAGTCAATAGCAAAATTGCCCAAAAGCGGCCCCTTGGTGCCATTTGAGGAAGTGGATCCCTCCACTGCCCGAAGCCAAGTCCTCTGGAGTCGAATCGGGAGCAAGCGTGACGCGCCGGATGTTCAGCCTACTCAATCCCTTGTCCCACTCTAACCCGGACATCCGGATCAGTTGCACCCTCAACCCCCCATGAGTTTAATATTCAAGCAGTGAACCTCCCACCAGTTGACCTCCGCACGCCCAGACGGATCTTTGGCCTTTCGCCCATGAGCCGCGTGATAGCCCCGAGCGCGCCGCGCTCGCCGCTCGAGTCGAGCGGCGTACTTCAAGCGCTCGAGGCGCCGGGTGGTGAAGACGGCAGCGCCGGCGGACGCGCCATCTTCCTGGGCGCGCGGATTCGGGGGTTCTCTGTCGTGGGGGGCGTTGGCCCAGTTGCCCAGTGGGTTGCTTCCTCTTTCTTTTTGTCTTCTTTTTTTATATGGGAAGGGTTTCCCTTTAAATTCAACCAACCAAAAAAGGATGCCTTTTTTCCTATGGCCACTGGGCATCTGAGTTGGGTAGGGCCGCTTTCTCTACCAAAGGTGTTGATGGGAATCCCGCTTTGCGGTCGCAAGGGAAAATGCCTACCGCGTTTATAGGGTGCATGGTTCCACTTAAGGGAATTTCCTGATTTTGATTGGTGGGAGGCAATTTCCTACCAATGTTTAGGGTTCATGAGCCCGTGTCTTGGAGATTCCGGGTGAAGTAGTCAATGGGAGTTCCACTTTGGCATCACAGGAGGGGTGGTTGTCCATGGGAAGCTGCGACAGTCCAAGGCCATTGGCAACCTTGGGACTTTCTGGGTATGGGTCAGAATGAAACCACCAGGAAATGGACCGCAGGTTTTGGTCCATGTGTCCATTTACTAGGGTTCCATTTGGGGTACCTATTTTTGACCCTATAGTCTTCAGGAGATGAATCGAAAATAACTTTGAATGCCATAAGTAGCCAAGACTTGCTGGTTCTCAGCAGGGAATGAGAAATGGAATGATCCCTATCAACCATCCCCCATGGTTTCCTTTTTTCGAGAATCTTGGGGTTCATTCCCACCTGGAAACTCGTCGTCATTCCAAAAAAATATCGCACCGGCACCAGCAAGACCAGGGTTCTTTTTGGATGTTGGGCCCATGTGACCTTCGTGATAGGGTACCCGCAAAATGGGTTGCCCGGGTAAATGGAAACATGGACTAAAGTATGCGGTCCAATTCCTGGTGGTTTAATTCTGACCCATACCCCAAATGATGGTTGGCCTTTTGGCTCCGCAAACCCGCAAAGGGGTACCGAGTCTCCAAAAAGACCCGCCCAAGCGGAGGCCGTGCTCTTAGCTCAGTAGAGAACTGCCAGGATCTCTCTCGCTTTTGGAGTTCCGGATTGTGTAGCTGAGGTATCCACTGCCTACCCACATAGGCTTCCATCGAGTTTTGGGACTTCGACCGGCCCCTTTTGAGTCGGCAAGATGCTAAGAACTGGACGCAGCTGTGGCTGCACAAAGCACTGCATGCTCACCAACCAGGGGGCATCGGGACGTTGCCAAATGTGACATGAATGTTGCCTACAGCTGAGTGCAAATCATTGCCCCAAGATTCCAGCAGTTCCGTTATACGCGACCACCGGATTTATGTCCAGCACCTAGCCTTTCAAATGAATTGTCCGGCTGTGAATCACAACCCGCATTTAGGTGTTCGGCAGTGTAATGAGATCATATGGCAGTCTTTAAACTTCAAGTTTGCGATGTTTTCCCCCCAAGGCCAGGAATGGCCAGGTTCCTCTTGGTTGCGCTACATCCAACCAACCATAGGGGTTTCGGGGTTCCCAGGTTCCCAAGCAAACAAGCCACATCCACGCATTTTCCCTCTGGGCAAAAAAAATCATCGGGCGTCGGCTCTGGCCTTTGAGAGCTGAGGAGGGTCTGAACGCGCCCCTTCAGTTCCCCCTTCCAAATAGATACATTTAGCCTGACATAGCATATTCAGAATCCAGACGGAGAAAAACAAAAGAAGCAATTGTTTCTTTGTTTGTTTTCTTTTCGTCAAATAATGTTTTTGTTTTCTTCTGGAAACAAAGGGACTTCCTTTCCGGCGACCTCCATTTTCGGGGGAGTGGGTAAACCCTGCTCCATCTCATCCACACGCGATGGATGGTGAAGCTGGCTTGGCCTTTGGCGCTGCAAAGGGCTGCAGACCGGCAGCAGGCTGGCAGGTTTTAGCTTTTTGCCTTGTTGGGGGTGCCCCATCATTTATGTCTCCAAGCGGCTGGCTCGAAGCTCCCCAAACAAAACGAAGCGCAGCGCGCGTGGCGGCTAACGCAGGTGTGGAGGAACTGCAGCAAAGATTCTTGGGGCAGGCCGGAGACGCAAACAAAGAAAGCAATGTACGAAGTGAGGCGTCTGGCGAACGGTCTTCGCACAGAAGAAGACCGTCAGAGGATCTTTAGCGTGCGCTACATGGATGTGTTTCTGGTCGCCTTAGCGCAGCCGCCCAGGTATTGATAGGCATATTGCCTGGTTCCCCAAAGCGAAAGCAGCGGGCCTTCGTTCTCGATGCCGTGAATTGGTGGATGGCATGACGAAGCTCTCCGCCGTCGGAACTGTGGTTCAAATTCATTACTCACCCCATCCGGGCCCTGGGGATTCTTTGCGCCGGCTGGGCCTTTGCGCCGGAGAGCGGCGGGACCAAGCTTTGAGCTTGGGCGCTATCGATCTGCTGTTGGAGCGGTGGCATTGTGTTTAATGACCCACAAAGGCGAGGGGTTTGCCTGGATTGCATTGGTTTCAGCCTGGCTTCGTTGTGCTTCGGAAATGACCGCGAGAGCCACGCTCGGCTCCGGTTGCTCAAGCGGCTGCCGCAGCGTGTGCTGGCCAATGTCAAATGCCAAGAGTGGCCGGAGGAAACCTATACTGAAGCTTTCGCACACGAGATCCGCAGCACGGTGGACCAGCTGGAGGAGCCGTGGAAAGCGGAGGAGCCGTGGAAAGCTTTCTCCTTGGCTGCTGTTTCGACGTCAGGCTGGTCATCTTCATTTTGCAAGGGCATGGTGTGGCTGATAGCATGGTTCAACCTTCCGCCCTTCATAAGGCAATTCGTTTTGGTCATGCTGGGGTCGTTCCAATGTGGTCTTGCCTACCAGGAAGATTATTCCATTGAAAGCCCCAGGAGCCTCTGGGTTTGAGCGCTTTGCGCGAGAGGGCGCCAATCTTCCTGCACCTTGAACTCTATGCTTTGGTCATATGCTACGCTGCTGCCTGCCAGCCTGTGAAGGCGTCGGTCTCTCCAAGGGATGATATTTAGAATATTGCGCAGTTGGATTGTGTCATTTATAGCTTGGATTGTGGACTATTTTCCCTGCACAAGACCAGCACAGTGCCGTCAACTGATTCAGAAACTACCTGCGACACCCTTTTTACTTTTAAATGGCAAAACGTTAACGGCGCTTGGGGCTTTTTGACAGGACGTTGTTCCTCATGTTCTTTGGTTGCATGCTTGACTTAGACAGTTATCTTTACAACCATAGCGATGCGGGAGCCAAAAGTTGTTTTTGTTTTGCAGGGGCTCTAAGTCTGGTTGAGCGTTGGCTGCCTACCCTCCCATCCAACATGAACCAAACCAGGACCATATGTTCCTCTCAATGAAGTTCCATTTTGGTGGACAACAAGATCCATTGGCGTGCTTCTAAGGTCATCCTGGGTGATAGATGACATTGATGGCAGTTTGGCTCTAGCCATCTACAAATGAAATCTAATTTTCTAAAACAACACCTTGGGCTGTTAGGTCCCTGTGACGTTGCGCAGTTTGGAGGGATCTGTGTTGGAGATGTTTGTGGGGTGCGCCGAACAACCGTAGGACGGGTTGGGAATTGTTGCAGCCTCATACACAAACAAAGGCCCGTAAAAGGGGGAACACTTTCCCGTTTTTACCTGAATTAGTTTTTCTGATTGTTTTTTGTTTTTTAGGGGTCCCTTTGTTTTCCACTAACCAGGCAATTTATTTTTGCGAGAGTCCTATGTCCAACAAAGTGATGAACACAGGCTGACGTGTTCAGAGCATCCTTTTGCAGAAAAGTACCTGTCGGCCCCTTCTAGAAGCGCAATGGAATCACTCGTAGGGCATACTATATGTGGCGTGCTTGTTTCCTCCCAGGCGATTTTGGCTCACCCTTTGGCAGCGAGGTGGCTGTTCTTGCAAGTACTTGCCGCTTCTTGAATGTCTTTGCTCCGAGTTTGCCCAGTGAAATCTCGCTTTGTTTCTGACTGAACTGATTGGTAACGCAGGCTCCACGTTGCAGGTCGGTTCGAGGCACAGATTGGGTTGTTGTCACTGGAACATTTTATGAACCGTTGGCTGCTTCAACACTCCCATTAGTTGTCTGTGACACAAAGCAAGATCCAAGTTACCCACAGGCTACCATGGGCGGGTCGGTCCAACCGGTCAAAAGTCTGAGGCGCTCACTGGGCGGTATCAGGGACGCGGAGTAATTGAGTGGCTCGTTTTTCTCAAGGTCGGCCCCCCCAACATGGGTGGGGTTTGGTCTCCACGTCCCCAATAGTCGACTGAATGTATGAACCTAGGCGGAACCCCAGGAAGGTGACTCCCATCTTTTAGGTGTTTGTTGCTTTCTTTTTCTGATCAGGGTATACTCAGGTTAGCCTTTGGTTTGGTTTGGATTTGGTGGTGTAGAATGGGAGGCTTTCCGGAGCACCACCAAACCACCGATTCGGCAATCCACCAATTGGGGGCAGCTGATATGGCTGTGGGTCAAAAATCGGTACCCCAAATGGGCCATGGGTAAGTGGAAACATGGACCAAAACCTGCGGTCCATTTCCTGGTGGTTTAATTTTGACAGAACCCCCAGGGCGGTTTTGCTCCGGGAGGATGTCAAGAGCTCCGGTGCCCTCATTGCGGCCTATGGCGCCGGCAGCGATGCTTGGCTTAGGGCACGGGGGCGGGGGGATGAGGGGTGTCCAAAGCTCTCAACGGAACGTGCCATGGTCAAAACACACCCGCCTTCCATTTGGTGAAATGGATATTTCATATTTTCCCCTGTTGGTTTTAAAGGGAATCTATCACTACAGGAAATTAGTATTTGGTACTTTTTCCAGGGGACTTAAATAACGGCTACTAGTACTTGGGGCTTAGTACTGCTCTATTGCCCAGTGGGTTGCTTCCTTTGTTCAACTTTTTTTGGTAAGGGTTGCAATTCCTTTAAAGTCTACCAACCAAGAAAGGATGCCGTTTTTTCCCCTGCGCATCTGAGTACTGGCTGACTTCCCGAGTTTCAGGACTGCAAACTTCTAAGAGCGTTTGTGCACAAAGTGCTTGGCTTTTTGGACCAATCCACTCGAAGTGAGTTCCTTTTCTTTGGGTTTTTCCTTGTTCTTATGGGTAGGTTGGAGGTGTCCAGGTATTTGACCAATCCACTCCAAGTGAGATCATCAACTTCCGATGACACCAGAGGGTTTCATCCACGGCATGTTCTCAGTAGCCAAGGCCCAAAGGCCTTTCAACTGCCTTACCCAGACCTTCGGTGCCGCCCTTTGGCTCTCTGTTTTTGGTGTTTATCGTGTTGCGTGCTTCTTTTTGTGGAGCAGGTTTCCCTCTAAACATAAACACAAAGTGTGCCTTTCTTTGTCATGGCCACTGGAGATCTGAGCCTGTTGGGACCTGTTTCGTGCGTTTCTTTGGTTTTCCGAAGATGTGTCTGGTTTTGACGGGTTGTTGTTGATGACTCTAGAAGTTGACGACCATGCGAAGTTTGAATATGCGGTTGCGTACTGAATCAAGAAGCAGTACCTTCCTTCCCAAGACAATCTGATGCAGAAGTGTTAGACATTTGGTATGGGCGATTGTGAACCACTCCTTTTTTCGGGCCAGTATGGTTTTACGGTTTAATCGGGAATCCTGAGAGCACAAACATATCGCAGCGTGCGATTTCCTTTCCCAACAGATGGAATTTGACGGAGGGCGAGTGTCGGGTGTTTAGAGGTTTTTAGAGGCAATGGCCTTCCTGCAAGGTTGCATACAGGGAACAAAGAAATGCATACAAACATGGGGTTCCCCCTCCAAACTTGTTAGCCTGTGGTCAAATACAGGTTACGGTGGGTTTTAATTATTTGGAGGGTTTAACACACAAGGTTGCCCTTCTGGCTATCGCCAGATTCTTTCTTGCGAAGCTTTGTTGACACTCCGCTCATACCCGCGCGTCACTTGCAATGGACTGCTCTCAGTGCTACGTTCCAAGGGAGACAGACGCAAAGCTCTCCATGAACTCCCCAGACGAGCTTTGCAAATTCGGCATATGGCGCTTCTTTTCTATTGACTTTTAGGTGTTGCCAAACATGTTCTTCATAGCAGGATCAAAGGGACAAGTTTGGTGGCTTTTCTATCCTCGCGTGTTGTCAAACATGTTCTTTATCCTGGCGACCTGGGGTTCCCAGCCGGTGACCTGGGTTTTTGTTGGTGACCTGGGCTTCCCCGAGAATCACCAATGTTCTGATTTTGTGTGGTCCGCAAACTCCGCCGGCTTCAGCCTTCATGGGCGCTTTTGCCGCTTTAAGCTAACCTGGCCTGCAGTGAATCTCCCCACTGATGGCAGGAAACTTCCGCCCAGCATCCCTCCCCATGGTCCTGTTCTGAAGTGAGAACTGCCCGGACGGGTTTTCCTGTTAGGACTGGCAGCGCGGCCTGCGCCAGTTTTGGCGCACTGCGCCCATCTGCCCAGTTGTTGGGATGGGCGGGTGCTGCCAGTTTGGGTTTGACCGGCAGTTTGGGTTCTCAGTATGGAAGTTTGGGCATGAACCTAGGGATTTCCTGAAAGGAAGCCACAAGGGATGGTTGATTAGAGTCATTCCCTCATTCCCCTTTGTGGAAGGTTACCGTTCTCCACCTTAGGGGATGTGGGGATCAACCAGCAGCCCATGAAATATGTCATCGCGAGGGCCAGAGAAACCATGCTGTGCCGTCCGCCCCTTTCGCTCCATCCGTTCCGTCCGTGCATCCCTCCATCCCTCCATTTTTCCACCTTCCATCCTTCCATCCTTCCATCCTTCCATCCTTCCATCCTTTCAGCCTTCATTCCTTGCACCCATCCACTCGTCCACTCGTCCATGGTCGAAATGGGTTTGTGTATGAGTTCCTCCTGGTTTCAACATGGACATGGTGTTGACCGATGCATGTTTCAGCGGTACCGAATCACATGTGGAGGAGATTGAAGCTGCGAGGGAGTTTGTTTAAGCGACCTCCCACGGAAACAACAGTCAAAGCGTTTGGTTACAGGAACAGCCTCAAAACACCCTATGATCTATTTCCTGCAACCCAACTATTTGAACAAGCAGTTGCTGTGAATGCAGCGGCACGTTGAAACCACCAAGTCAACTTGAAACCACCGGCAAGGCCGCGTCCGGTTCCCCGTAAATGGACTGTCGAGGACCAACCCCGGTTTGGTTACCTTCAGGGAAGACAGCCAAACGAGCAAGCAAGCAACCGAAGAACCGGACAATTGAACGCGCGCACACACACACAGATGAACTACTGAGACACCAAACAAAACAATCAATCAACCAATCAAGCCCCATTATTTGACACATGTGTCAAGACCAAAAGACCTGATACTCGTATGCGGTTGCATTGTGGAGTGCCATAGATCCTTCTTGGGTTTCGCAAACAGCTCAATGCTTCCTAGAAAGGGTACCAGGATCCAATGGTGAGTTCCCTTTGTGCGTGCCACCTAGTTGCCCCTCCCTCTAGCAATCATGGAAGTTGACGATCGGAGGGTTTTGGAAGACAGACTTGACTTTTCGGGAACCCCTTCCGCTTCCCTGGTTTTAAGGAGGGCAGGTTGAACATCCAAGTCATTCCGCCGTATGTATCGCCGGTATCGCCGTTTGGTGTGTTCTTTGACCTCTCGCTCCAAAGGGAGGATACCCTTTTCAACCATTGCACCGCCTGAATCCGGCTTTGGCTTACGTAATCCATTATCAAGTCGACAAAAAGCCCCAAAACACCCGAACTAAGCTGCTTTCCTGTAGAATGTCCTGAAGTTTTCAACTCTTTGAAATTGGGTTACCATGGTTAACCAGTGGTTACTCGGAGTTCCCTGAAAAAGCCGTGGCTGCGGGTCAAAATCCAAATCGTACCCCCAGTGAACATCCCAATCCCCACTAAAATATATAGTGGTGCACCTACCAACCAAAATGGGATCCCAGTGGTTTTGACAACCACAGCCACATGGCCACAGCCTCATCAGGTTGAACGTCTTGACTGGGTGCCTTCTGTCGAGCCGCGCGCCAAGGCGGCGGCTCGAGCCGAACATCCAGCTGTGCAACGCGGCAGCGCCGGGCTGAGCTTCGCACTTGGCTAAAGCGCTTTGGTTTGCTCAGTTCCTGGACGTTCAGTTTTTGAGAACACCGTTTTAGAGGTAAATAACATGTTTTGGACTTGTTTGGGGCCATCCACTCGGGAGGTGTCACACCCAAATCCCCTAAATGGTTTCAGGGTTCACATCATTTGATGGTTTCCCGGCGAATTTGGCTTATGCGACTCCTAAACCAGAGACAAAACGGCAAAACTGTACGGCCCTTCTCTTTCTTTCTTTTTTTGCGTAGTGAAGTTTAAAGGGACACACCCGCAAACAAAAAGGAAAAGCAGGAGCATGCCACTTCACAAAAGTGGTTTCCAGCAAATCGTCCGGTTCCTAGACTTTTAGTTGTTTTATGTGGTTGGGTTTCCATATTTAACCCACTACTTAAACTTTTCGCAGGAGGATCAGTTTGGACGGCCCGCTACAAATAGTTTCTCGTATAATCATGATTGAAACTGGTCCTAAAGTGCTCCCCACTCCGCCCCTACAGTACCCTCTGTCAGGAAAACAAATGAAAATACGCATGAAACCGATCCAATCCAAACCAATTAGGAGTAAGGTGAGTTTAACATTTAGTCCCACTGTTCGGCCCAATCTGGTAGGTTTAGTGGTACTGTCTTGGAACTATTTTACATTGCATAGTTTCACAAGACATGAACCATAATCAAGCATGTAGTTGTGGGTCGGGGCGCTTGGAATTCTATTCACATAGAACATGCCTGGAGCAGGGTTGGTTGTCAAGGATTGGCCTCTTTTTCCTTTGTCCGTTTTCCCCGAGCTTTTGCCAAAGCCTTGCTTGCCCTTGGCACTGGACCTTCCACGGAACTGGGGGACCTCCTTTGGAAGGTTTGACCTCAAAACAGCTTCTGAGGTATGAAGACTTGGGTGAGCCCGTATTTTTTGTACAGCAAAACAACAAGGTTGCCTGGAGTATCCGCTCAAAAATGAGGGGTGTTGTTTCGGCGGAAGACGTGGCCATGAGGTCAACGCCTGCCGCCGTGCCCGCGCTTGGCACAGCGCCTTCGCGCTGCTGCGGGCGGCACATCTGCAACGCCTGCAGTGGGACGAGGCGCTGCGATGCGCATCGGGGCGCAGTGGAAAAAGCAAAACCCAACCTGTTCACATTTGGGTGTGGCTCAAAATTAAAGAGCCAGGGTTACGCAGGTTTTAGGTCTCAAAAGCTTGACCTTTGATTTCCGGGTCCCTAAGGGGCAACCGAGCCACAATCAAAACCCGGGTAGATGATCCGGTTAGTAAGGGACAATCCCCTTGCCAGAAATAGCTGCGGACATCCGCCTTCTGAATTCTGAAAACATTGTTCTGGGTAGACCATTTTGATTGTGACTCAAGTTGCTGACATTTGGGAATACTCAACTGGCTGTGGTTGTCAAAACCGTTTTGGATACCATTTTGGTTGGTAGGTGAATTAACCACCAATTTTAGAACCTATTTTAGTGGGGATTGGGATGTTCACTGGGGGTACGATTTGGATTTTGACCCATGGCCAACTATCAACTTACTCACATGTGGGGATTGCAACGTAGTGTAACAGCATGGGCAAGATTATAGATGAAAACAAGACATTATGCACTTCTGAAAAATCATGCCCCCGTTTTTTGGACAAGTCGAAGGAACGTTTGTTTAGGAGACTGCGCTTGAGCTATCATGTCAAGTAGATGACTATGTGCAGAAAGCTTATAGGCAAAGAAACCGTTTAATTTCTATGTTCAGGGGTTTTTGCCTAGTCTGAAATGGATGCGGCAGTTGGTTTGGGTTCCATGAAGGACCAAGCTACGTTAGGTAGCCCTAGTTAGCCATTATTTTACTTGCAGCCGTGAAAGTGGGTTGTAACTATATATTATGTTCAAACCTTGCAAAGTAACCTGCTTGGGTCGGCGGGGTTTCTGGTTTTAGGGAATTCCCTTTTGATTTGTCAGGAAACACCACATTTGGTGTGTCTCAAAATGTTCAAACCTCCAAATGCGTTGTGTTCTTCTGTTTCTCCCCTGTAGTTTCCCTTTAACACACCGAAACCCTCAAACAGAACGCGCCATGGCTGCTCGACGTGTAAACATGTTTGCAAACCTTTCACAGTACCCTGTTGGGTTTAGGGGGTTACTGGTTTTGGGGAGTTCCCTCCTTTCTTGTCCATTTGGTTTGTCAGGAAACACATGTGTTCTATGTTGAACCCAAATGCGTATTTGTTTCTGTTTCTCCCGTGTGGTTTTCCTTTCACACACCAATAAAGGACACCTTCAAAGAAGCCTTCAAACAGACAAACACAACAGGGACTTCAGCAGAATTACTTGCTTGGTGAATCCTCTTGATTCAAATGGACCGAAACGAGACGCCTTGTATTGTTTGGTGCATTTTGCCAGGGGATGTTAGGACTTTAAGCTTTTTGCCAACTAATGGTTTTTCCGAACTAAACCACTAAAAGAAAAAAACAAAAAAAAAAACCTTTTAGCAGGGGAGCAGAAAGCAACCGAGTATTGGTAAACCAAAGGTAACCCATCAGCCAAGAGGTAGAACCTGGGGTAACAAACGGGCGTGTGGCAGAAAAGGCGGCCTTGGCAGCTCAAGCCCTCAAATAAGGCCCAATGAGGAGCGGTCTTTGGGCTCCCTGTAAAATGACTTTTATGGTACAAGGTTGCCACCCCCACGCGGCCAACGTGCCGCATTTGCTCCCCTTTCTTGTCGGAGCGGTTTTGTGGGGGTCGCAGGATAGGGTCCCGGAAGTGGGACGACGGGTTGATTTACGGCATATGGATCTTGACGCCCGGCACGGGATGTTGGCTTGGCTATTTGTTTGGATCCTTCCATTTGCTAAAGAGTATTATTATTATTATCATTATTTCCCCTGTTGGTGTTAAAGGGAATCTGTCACTATTGCACTTGTTTTTTCCAAGGGGCTAAAGCAAATTGAGGGATCTTAAGCCTTTAAGTGTTTGGGAATGTATTTACTCCCCCACTCACCAAGACAAAGTGTTTCACTTTTTGGAGTTGGGGCAACATCCACCAAGTTTGGAAGGTGTTTCCCCTTGAGGGGGGGTTGACCCATGCAACGTTCCGCCATCCGAAAAACCATGCTGATGAGAGCCATCCATGGAGGCGATTTCTTTCCAAGAGGGCCCAAAAGCATAGCACCGTTCAAAACCGCCGGCATTCGACACGTCGCCAGCCTGACAAAAGCTTGTCTAAAGACCTCAGCCAGGCCCATTCAGGGGCTGGGAGGTTCCGAAAAGGGACATGGCGCGCAAGCCCGGCATTTTTGAGGCACCAAGACTGGCTGGTGCTCAGTAGGGGAATGAGGGAATGCAGAGATTCCCCTGGAAGGCAGCCACAACTGGTGGTTTTTGGGGGTCATTCCACTTCTCATTCCCTATCGCACCAGCAAGAAGATTCTTTGGGCTTCAAAAGATGATACCTCCCACCAAATTGGACAAATGACCCATGGTCAAACCGGGGGCCTTGTCGGGAATATTGATCAACCCCCATATCAAGAAGGTCCTTTGAGGCTAGCTTCCTCCAGGTCTCTTTGGGAGCTGCCGCACCCACTGCTCGCTGGCGCATTGGCCTCGATGCTCGGATGATCGGCGATCGGCTTTTCCAGTCGCGCCACGTCGGAGTTGCTTTCTACCCTTCCAGGCTTCAACTTTCGCAATGGGCGTACTGACATATTGAGCCCGGAAGACGCGTGGTTCCATATATATGACGTGCCGTGTACTGTATATTTATATACATACCCTGCTGTTCCAGCATTTGTGGGAGGGTACCCTTTGTTCCGGTAGCATATGGCTTTGGATCCTGATCGTGCTTCCTCACACGTAGCTTCAGTGGGAATTTCCTGGAAGCTAAATTTTCTTTTGTGTCAGGTGCCATGTTTGTTGGAGATACTTGCCGAAAGTGGTCTGTTCGCCCTTTTTCTTGAACTCCAGCATGCTATGTCCAGGTGCTTTTGGCAAATCAATGGTGGACATTTGCTGGAGGGTTTTGTCCTCATGCTTGGATCAGAGTTTGCTTGGATACGTCATGGCAATCATGGAGCTTCTGCTTGCGAGGGTCAATTGTCTTTCAGAACTGTGCCGGCTCCGCGGGCGATGTTTAAGGAAACCCAACAGGAAAACCGCCATTTCGGGTTTCCCCCCAAAAAGACCCACCCATGTGGGAACACCAGAAACTGTATGTTTGGATGTTGTTTTAGGGATGTGTTCTCAGGCTCAATGCCTAGATTCTATCAGACAGGGTATTGTACTGTAAGAAGGCCAACATGTTTCGAGCTGAGCGATTCGTTCACAGAGCCTCTGACATCGCCTACTGATCGCTTGGTCTGGTTCGAAATCGATGGGTTCAGATGGATTTTTTGCTCCATTTAGTGAACCCCAAAGAAATGTGTCCAAAGGGTCACCTATGCCCTCTAAGTGTCCATTGCAACAGCTCGGGCCTCGCGTGTTTTTTTCTTGAACCTCCAGCAGTTGGGGGCTGTAGCCTTCAGATGACAGCTGACGTGCTTGGAGGTGGCTGGAGGTGTACCATGGCGGGCAGGGGGATTAAACAAGAGGAACGCCTGAGCAGGTTGGGCACGCTGTTTTCCAGGAATACCCTACCAGGAGGCAAGTGGATAATCCCCTGGTTGATCGGTGCTGGCATTAAATGACGAATAGGGTGCCCCATGTTCAAGAAAATATCCTTCACCATTCAGGCAGAGAGCCAGAAATATCCACCGACCCGGTCCTTTTTGGGCGTTGCCCCGTTTTCAGCTCTGCTGGCTGCTTGAAGAAATCCTTTGAGCTCAGCTTCTTACCATTTGGGCTGGGCCATGCCAGAAGACTCACCCGCTGGATCCCGCTTTGAGGTTCCAGAGTTGGAACCTCCAAAGCGGTTGGTGGACAACCCGCCGAGTTCCGAGGTTCACCAAGGGGCTCCCTAGGGAAAACTCGTGCCTTTCCATGTTTGGGTTGCAATGACCAGGAATACCCAGAGGAAAATACTCAGTGAGAAGACTTGGGAGGGGCATAAGGAGATACCAAGGTTCATGTGGAGCCACAGTCAGAACCCGGGTAAGTGAAGGTTCGTAAGGGACGATCCCAGCCATAAATGGCTGCGGATATCCGCCTGCTTAGTTATTGAAGCATGGTTCCGGGTCGACCATTTTTGTATTTTGATTGTGACTCAATTAGGCCATGCTATATTTTTGCGAGGATGGTTCAACCCTGTTCCCATTCGAAGGAGAACGTGGAAATACATTCAGTAGCTTGCCCAAATGCTGCCAGGGAGCTGTGGCAACTCAGACAGATCTGTGGCAACTCAGCCCAGGAGCTTCTGAGCCCGCGCAACGTCGTGGTCACCGGGGCTGTGGCCGATGCCATGGCGAAGGTGGAGTATCTGACTGGACAGCTCCGGGAAATTTGGGGCCTGAGAGCAACACCAACGCGTTTTTTTCCCGAACCCATGTACCTCCTTATTAGCTCATTATTATAAGGGGGCAAAGGCTAACCCCATGAATCCTAGCTGTAAGCATTGTTGCTGAATCGGTTAGTTCAGAGAATCTTGGTGCTTCCATCTTTTTTTGACAATTTTGAGGTCCCAAACCTTCCAACGGATCTGACATCTCCAATGGAGGGTCCAATGTTTAGGGTTTCCCAACAGCTGATTGCCTTGCCCTGGGGTTCAGCTACCACCATTAGAATAATGGCTGGGTTCATATTTTGCCACTACGATTTGCCTAAGGATGGTCATCATTCTTTTAGTGGGGGTTGAACCCTAGGGTTTGGCTTCTTCGCCCAGCTCAGCAGTCAGCAGCTATGGTTCCGAGGCGTATGGGTAACAAGTCACCTGGGCTAAGAGGCCAACACCCGTAGCGTTTTCACGGGAGCTCCGTGCAACCCAGTGGGTCCCTGGAGGAAGAAAGGAGCCAGAGGGTCCCCAGCGAGGGTCCCCATGGTCAATGGGCGGGTATTTGGAAAGCGGCATGAAACAACTGTAGGGTGAAGCAGGTCTTGGCATGATCATGGTATCAAGGCGGTGGGAGCTACGATGTTGGTTTCAAGGGCACGTGCGGAAACGCCGCATGCAGGGCCCCAAGCAAGTTAACAGTAGGACTTAAAGTGAAACAAGTGCCAGTGCGCCGCACAGCCGTGTTTGTTGCTGTCGCGCTGCAGCACGGCACAAACGCGTTTCAGCTTCCTCTGGCACCTGGGGTTCATGTTCAGCCAACCTTGACGTGCAGGGCGGAGGGTTCTATCGGTTCTGCGACGCTTGGGAAGCGCAAAACATGAATGTCTACACACACACACATGATTTGGGGCGGGTCTGTTTTTAGAGGACTCGGCCCCCCTCAAAAAGCTGGCTGTCCGTTTGGTTTTCCCCTTACATGGTCATGGGTCAAAATCCAAATCGTACCCCCGGTGAACATCCCAGTCACCACTCAAATAGACCAAAATGGGTGGTGCACCTACTCCAAAATGGTACCATTGGTTTTGACCCACAGCCACATACCTTCCATTTGCTTAAGAATATTTGTCATTTTCCCCTGTTGGTTTTAAAGGGAATCTATCGCTACTGGACATTTTTTTCCAGGGGGCTTAAGCAACTGGAGGTTACATGTCCTTTGGGTGCCCCCCAAACCAGTGGTGGTCCGTTTGGCTAAAGGTGGGGTACCCCAACCGCTCAGCAGCAGCATCCGCAGGCGGCGGAGTGGGCTTCAGCCTTGGCGCTGAAAGCTTCGCTGGCCGTCGGTTCAGGTGAGCCGCGGGGCAGATGATCCGGTTCGTAGGGACAATCCCCTTGCCATAAGCCTTCCCCAGAATTAGCTCCCCTTTGGTTTTTCCCCAACAGCAGGCTTTGGGGTCTCAGATAGGCTCCGGGGTGGTCCGGGGCGGTGAGGTAAGGTTCTATCAGGGTTCCACCTGGCTTCCACGAGGTTCTGCGAGGGCTGCGGGGTGCGAGCGCTAAAAAGAGCACCGCATGCTGTTGGGGATATCACCTGAGCTTATTTGTTGTTTTTGCTTTTTTTGGGTTTATGTGAAAGCCACGAACCAGGCAAAAAACAAAATGCTGCTGGGGTTCTAATTCCAGCCTAGAAATAGCTTCGCCCGCCTTCCTAATTCTTCACATGGTTCTGGGCAGACCATTTTACTACCCGGTTTTGTCTATGACTCAGGTGGGAAAACATGGGGGATGTTTCACTCAGTTGACCAAATGTCACGTCTGGAGACTGGAGACTAGTTCTTTTCCAAGCGGCTTTTATTTCTGTCCTCCGGGACTCAGTTGCCCCAAGTCTTCCATTTGCTTAAGATGATTTGGCTGTGGCTCAAAAAACAAACAGGTACCAACATGGGTTGCCCTGGTATGTGGACACATGGACCAAAACCCGCGTAACCCCTCCTGCTTAATTTTGAGCCACACCTATTTATATCTGTTTCCTGCTGTCACTACTGGACATGCATTTTTCTCAAGGAGCTTTTTTTTCTTCTGAGTTCTCTGGGCAACGGAGGGGAAGAAGCCAAAGACTCTCTGCTTTTTCTGAATCCTGTAATTCGAAACGCTTCCAAAGTTGGCACGGTCGCAGGGACGTGGAAGTAGGTGTTTTTGTTCCAATGCCATCAACTACGTTTCTTTCTTGAGGCTCACTTCACGTGCATCCTTCTCTCTGCTTTTTTTTCCCCTGCCTATTCCCTTCTAGTTTGTTCTCAGATTTGTTCTCCCAACTTTTTTAGGCCACTTGCTACCCTTGCAGCCACGGAGCAAACAGTATGTCATGGTGGGTAAGGGAATCTACCCTTTGCGAAGTGCACCCTTGCCTCGAACCGAGGCTGGGCCACATCGCCACACTTTTTGACTCTTGCAACAGGATATCAAGCTAAAAGCAAGGTCCAAGATGACCTTTTTCGTTTTTTTCGGGTATGGGTTCAGCCAGGTGCATTTTGGTGATGCAAAGCTCGACTTTGGCCCAACTTGTTGGTAGATCCGCGAAGTATTTCCGAGCACTGCTTGGGGTTTTCTGCCATGTGAGGTTGGAGTTCCAAATGGCCTTTTCACTTTGTCAGTGAACCAGGGGGAGCTGCCGGCCCAAATCAAGGACTTACCTGGAGTCTCCATGACCCTTTAAAAATGGGTCCAGGACCCCAGTATTTTGGGAAGTGACCAACTATTTAGGAAGGGTCAGAAGGAGACTCCAGGTAGCGTCATCCAGCATAAGATAGTTTGTTTTCAGTGGTGGGAGGTCAAGCTTGCAGTTGCCCAGAGCGTGGCCAAAACTTCCCCACAACTAGCTCCCCTTTTTGTTTTTTGCTTTTTTGGATTTGGTCCCTTTGTTTTCCACTCACCAGGCAAACAAAATACATATTTTTTCTGGGGTCCTAATTCCAGCCAAGAAAAGAGCGAAGTATTCGGCTTGATTTCCCTCCAGAAGCGCCAGCAGATCGCTTTGACAGCGTAGTTTATGGTGATTACCTCAGAACATGTGATTCAGCTGCAATGCAACATGTTCATGCGGCGCATGGCATTTCATCCATGTCTTGGAAAGCAACTGGGGCCTCAGCACACCATAAACAACACCTTCGTGGCTGTTTGCTTGGATCTTTGGACTTCAACTGTTTGGGGAGCAGTGGGTTTTGCATTTGGACTCGCAACAAGTCAACAAAAATGCAGAGGGGTCAACAGCAGCAACCAAGCCACATGAGTCACAGGGGTCGACCATTTTAATACCAAATTTTGGCTATGACTCACATGGAGTTCACATCGTCCATTTGCTTAATAATGTTTTTGGTTTTCCCTTGTTGGGTTTCAAAGGAATTGATCACTACTGGAAATATGTAGAGACAAAAAAACGGGGGTCTTAAGCAAATGGAAGATTTGGTTTCACTTTTGAGTCAGCCGGACTTGACGGAGCTTTGGCTTCCTTTTGAGATGTCCTTCCACTCACTTGCACAAAGCGAATCGACCATGGAACCTTGTGCTTTCCCCTTGTTGGACCATTTGTTGCGCCCCCCAAAAGTTACCTGAACCCTCAAAAATCCCTTAAAAATGGGTTTGACCCCCAACATTATGGGGTGATATCCCATTTTATGGGTGGTTTGAGGGTCCAGGTAGCTTTTCATTTCTGGGTCCTTTGGGCAACTGACGGCCCTGCGACTTGCGCAGGCTTGCAGACGCGGCAGGTGCTCAGCTGCGCCGCCGCGGCGCTGCAGCGGAGCAAGCGCTGGCAGGAAGCTCTGGCGCTCTTCGATCAGGCGATCATTGATCGACGGGGGAGGGAAGGTTTTTTTCGGCCGGGGGGAGGGAATAGGGGGAAAATGTGAACTCCTGGTTGATTTTGATCGGGGTGTGTGTGTGTGTGTATTGATCGGGGTCAACCCTAAAGAATCTTTGGTGCATTTTGCTTGGCTGTTAGGACTTTAACTTTTTGCCAACTAATGGGTTTTCCACTAAACCACTAAAAGTTAAACTTTTAGCGGGGGAGCAGAAAGCAACCGAGAAGCCTAAGGAATCCCAACAACCCCCCCAGCGGCGAGGCGCCGGACGAGTCCAAGGACGCCCCGGCCTGCGGCACGCAGCTGGCGGCCTGTGCCGCCGCAGGGCGGTGGCTGCAGGCACAGGCGCGAAACCCTTTGGACTGCGACCTGAAAAGTTGGGGTTGGAAGGTTTCTACTTCCATCTACTTCCTCAGAATTCGCTCCTTTTTTTTGCGTTTTTTTTTTGGGGGGGTCCCTTTGTTTTCCACTCACCAGGCAAAACATATATTTTTGTTGCTGGGGTCCTAATTCCAGCCTAGCTACCTGGAGTCTCCACGACCCTTTAAAAATGGGTCCATGACCCCTTTTGGGGCAATGATCCCACTTTTGTAAGGGTCATGGAGACTACTGGTTTGGATGGGTTTTGTTCCATCTACCAGGTCTTGAGATCAATGAGGCACTTTTTCGCTGGGGATTCCTGAGTCGGCCATGGCGTATCCTACGGCTCCATTTTGGGGTGGATGAACATCCATTTGCCACCTATTTAGGTTTTTGACCAACAGCCAGTTGTAGGGTTTGATTCCAACCATTCTTTTCAACTATCGTTCTTTTCAAACACAGGCCGTTCTTTAACTCAGACCTAATGTCACTTCTGGAGACTGGATATACTAGGCCCCCCGCAGCTAGGTGCCCTTTCTCACCCGTTTCTTTTTTGGGGGAGAAGGTTCGCCTACTAAAATAGACTACAGAAAAACGAAACGGTACCCTTGTTCTATCCTCTCAAATCTGGAGTGACCTAGATGAGTTATTTTTTTGGCGATTCTGGGTTGGGATTCCTGGGTTGGGTATGTGTCACTCTTGGCCCCAAACCAGGTGGTTCTCTCACTTCCTGAGTTGAACTGCAGTCACTGGTTGGAACTGGTTGGACCATCTTGGGTAAATCACAGTCCACTCCAGTGAGATTCGCTTGAGGACACCTGGTTGGTTTGGGAAATCTCCAATTCCTTTTACCTCGTAACCTTCCAATGGAGGTCCTCACCTGTCCAAAAGCTTTGCAGGAAAACCTCAAAACTTGCCCTAAACTGCTCCTTACCTGCCCTAAACTTTTGCGGCTGTCCTTGGCCCCTTTTTGCTGGAGTCTAAGGGCCACCTCTTTCTGTGCCCTTGCCACTAGTGGGATGGAAGGACTCAAAGGTGTTTCGGGTTTCGGCTAATGTTTCGGCCTGGACCCTCAAACCCATAAAAATAGGAGATCACCCACCATAATTTTGGTTGGTGATATCCCATTTTTAATTGGGACTTTTGAGGGTTCAGGGGCATGTTTCGGCATGGCCCTCGAAAGAATTCCTGTTGGTGTTCATCTCCTTGGCAAATGTTCTGCCAACCCCTACGGGATTCCCCACGTTCCACATTTCGCGAAAAGCAGATGTACATCAGCTTTTGGCACAAGGTGCGGTGGGAGTAGCCCAGTGCTCTGATTGCAGGCATTCGTCTTTGAGACTATGTCAATGTAGGTTACCATACCACAGGGGTCATTGGATTTGTTCACAACCTCCCGCTTTGGGTTCGACTTGATAAACAGATATCCCTTTTCGGGCTTCGTGTCAACTCGCAGAATATGTTCCGTCTTGAGTTGTCAATGTTCCATTTCCTTGCGGATTCCCACTCCCCCCCGCCCATCCCCCAAGGCCCCCAAAAGACACCTTTTGTTTGTTTGAAGTTTACTGCAAACAACTCCGAATCAAGCGATAGGCTACTGCGTCTACTCCAAAATCACGCTTTACCCGGTGGCCAGCACCGTGGTCACACACCAACATAGAGTGTTTTGCAGCCTTGTTCGCACCAGAGACATCCCCACCGGCCGTTCAATTTTAGGTGTGGTTTCCCTTCAAAACCACTAAGATTATGTGTCTCAAAGCGAGGGTCGGTTTCCCCTCAGCCATCCCGAACAGGGTAACTACTCAAAGAAGAGGACGCCCTGTTTCGCTATGAATTTTGATGGGAACCCCCTCCCAAATGGGTGGTGGACATAAATCGCCACCCAAATGATGTCCACCAGAGGGCCCCGAATTAGAATTCATACCCATTTCGAAGAATCTCCCCACAGACTCTTCCCTCAGTCGCTGCTGCGGAGTTTCCGCTCCCTGCGCCTGCGCTTGGACCTGGTCGCCTACGGCAGCGCGGTGTGCGCCTGCGCAGAGGCTCTTCCAAAGGTTTGGTCCGCAGACCCTTGAGTCATTCACCTCAAAAAGGGAGAAGGTTGAGCTTTTGGAACCTTTACCCTTTGGGCTTGCTTTGGGCTTCCCCGCTTTTCCTTGCCCGCATTACAGGAATGGCAAGGACCCAACTTGGACAATGACAGTCCTTCGGTAAAACATGGTGGTATGAACCTGAACCCTCAAAAATCCCTTAAATATGGGTTTGACCCCCAAAATTATTAGGTGATATCCCATTTTTCAGTTGGAATTTTGAGTGGTGTTTCCCTTTGTTTTTTTGGTGGTTTGAACCCCTGGGTTCTCGCTGGTGCGATAAGTAGGGCATGAGGCAACGAACCGTTTTGGACTTCCCGAAGAAAAGAAACCACCTGTTGGATGGTTTTTCTCGGGGGTCACTCCATTTGTCATTTCCTGAGCACCAGCAAGGCTTGATTCATAAGCCCCAAGTCAAGTTGGCGTCCCTTTTGGGGGTTCCTTTCTTTCAGGACCCCCCCCTCTTAATTTTAATACTTGGCTGGGGTTAGTCAGGGGACATGCGACATGGAAATCGGATCGCCAAAGCTGAGCACCACTTGTCCTGCAATAAAAAACCCTCGAAAGCAAAGAAGTTATCGTGACTGATGGCGCAGAATCGCGCGACCAAAATCTTTGTGGAATTGGCGCGAGCCAAATTGGTAGCAGGGACTAGACATACTGTGGATGGACGAAATCCTGCACCATTGGGAAACCATGGGCAACCATTGTTTGTGGGTATTTACAGGGGATCATCATTCCAGGGTTTCTTAGGTGGTGCAGGATTTCGTCCATCCACAGTATTGCTTGATCTGGGTGGTTTAAACATCACCTTTTGGTTGCCGATCTTGATGGCCCTTTGGTGTGATGTTTTGATAGAAACAGCCATGCTGGGATTTCACATGGGGCACCTTTTTCCACATGTAACACCTCCTTGCCGGTGAAAAACATCCAACCAAAGGGAGTATGGAGAATTGACTCAGTAACCCCAGCAAAACTCAACCAGGTGGTCAATCAACACTCATCAAGGCTCCTTAAAAGATACATTTTGCCAATTTGAAACATGTTGCTTTTTCCACCGAAATACAGGGAAACCACCATTTACAAGTTGCAATGTTCAGGTGTTTTTTCATGTAAGGATCCCTGCTCAGTTGATCGACCTTGTAATCTATTCGTTTGGCTTTCAATTTCTGGGTCCCGAATTGGCAAATGCAACTGAGCCACGTGCTAACCCATGCGCCCTCAAAATCCCTTAAAAATGGGTTTGACCCCAAACATTATGGGGTGATATCCCATTTTTATGGGTAGTTTGAGGGTCCAGGTAGACCATTTTAGTACCAGGTTTTGATTGTGACTCAACTGAGTTACTGAAGCAGGTGGTCGATCAACATGGTCGCTTTCCTTCGCCGAGAGGCCGGCGGCGCATCGGCGAAGGCTGGGTTTGGCCTGGCTGTGCAGATGTGGCCTGGCGCAATGCGGAGGTTTCCCGGAAGGAATCAACATGATGGCTCGACTTTTTTTTGCGGAATCGGACCGGGTCCGATTCCAACATGGCAGCAACGTGGTTCCTTTCGATTTCCCATGGTACCCCTTTTCAAAGGGGTACTGACTCAAAAAAGAGGAGCCACCCACATGAACAATGGGTTGAAACCGCCTTGTTTGAGCTGCAACTCGGCTTTCTCTGCGAAGGAACCAACATGGAGACTTGTCTGAAACCGCCTTGTTTGAGCTGGAAATGCCTTGCATCCGACTTGGTGGTGTCGTAAGAGCAGATCAAAGATGTAGACTCGCCAGGAGTCGCCAGTCGCTACCCAACAAAGGCCGCAAGATGTTCGGAGCCCATTCCTTTTCCCTGGGGGTCAAACCATTAAAACACTGGGGGTTCATATTCCACCACCATTGTTCACCCAAGGATTGTCATCTAAATTGGGTCCTTGCCGTCTTTTAATGGGGGCAAGTTGAACCCTTCAAGTCCATGAGTGGCCTTGAGATGCCTTTTTTCTCCCCCTGTTCCTGCCGATCAGCAGGGACTGAGAAGCGGAATGACCACAAGAGAAACCGGTCAACTGGTGGTTTCCTTTAGGTCAAGGCCTGGGTTCATCCCATTTCTCATTCGCTACTTCTCGCACCAGCAAGTTGTTCTTCGAAGCACCGACGTGGGTGTGGCTCCAAATTAAACAGGAGGGGCAAACCGCAGGCTTTGGTCCATGTTTCCACTTGCCAGGGCAACCCATTTTGGTTCCGGTTTTTTGAGCCGCAGCCACGTCTGAGGCGTCAGCGGGGCCTTGAGCCCGGCACGGTTTGCCGCAACACCTTGGCGCGATGTGGGTCCTGGCCGGAGGCGCGTGCGCGCTCGGCGCGGGCTACGGGCATGGCTGCGCGGCTCTCAAAAAGTTCCCGTTCACCTAGACACGTGTTTTTTGGGGATATGCCGCGAAAGCTTCATGTTTCCAGAACAAAATCATGGTGCTTTTGTTGGGGTATGACATTTTCAGAGGTCTTTGGGTCTCCTGCCAGAAAGAAACAAACAAGGAGCGCAACAAGCCCTTTTCTCCCCGGAAGAAATTGGGTGGGGTCAAAAGAAAATTGGGGGGGTCAAAAACAAGGGGAGCCAACCCACCTGATTTTGGCAGACCCAAAGCGAGACCCGCAGAAGCGGCCTTAAGCTGCAGAACACGCAGAGGTCCTGCGGTGCTCTCGCTTTGGAGCACTGAACATTTGGCGCGGCGGTTTTTTTCTGGGGCGTGGCTTAAAAAGTAAGAAGGGGACCATGATGGAAACCAGGATTTCTTGGTATTTACAGGGGCAATCATATCAAAACTCAGGGTTTCTTAAGGAGGGTGCAGGAGTTCGTCCATCCACAGTAGCTTTGGCGCATTTTGCCAAGGGATGTTGGGACCTTAACTTTTCGCCAACGAATTGGTTTTCCATTAAACCACAAAAAGTGAAGCCTTTAGCAGGGGAGCATAAAGCAACCGAGGGTCAGTCCACTTTTCCACTGTCCAGGGCAACCCATTTTGGGCCGATTCCTATTTGTGCGCACCAAGAACTGGCCATCCCACAAGCGATATAGGTTCAGCTCCTGACTCCTTGGGGGGGGGGGTTAAGGTATGAACACTCATCTAGGAGTATGACCCGTTAATTGGGTTGAGTCGAGGTGTGAATCGACTTCCCGGTCAGGGATGTGTCAAAACCAGGAATGCTTTCTGGGGAGGTGAAACAGAAATGAAGAGACACAGCAAGCACATGATGAGACCAATTGGGAGGAGGTCGAACGCCTGGGGAGCCGGGGTATTTACATGTTCAGTGGACCATTGCATCTTGGCCATTGAAAGGGTGTCCAGTGGTACAATGTTAAGATGGATGTTCAGCTATGGGGTTTGGCATGGTTTGGTGGTATCGGGGTCAAGCTTGTGCATGCATGTAAGCTGCTATACTGTCTGTTTTGGACATCTGGCAGAAGTATTCCTTGCTTGAGAGCGATCGACTTTTACTTCCAGCGTGAGGCTGCGTATGCGACGAAACGGCTCACTCCCTGAGTTCCGTTTCGGAAGAAGGTCACTGGGTGTGGACCCATCTTAGTGGCATTCTCAAAACTCACCCAGCCAGTGGACACACTTTACACTTTCTTCGTGGCTCTCCCTTTATCTTAGCGGTGGCCCAAAAAGTGTACACTTTTCTGGGTCACTGGCCAAGTGAGAAAAAGTCAAGGGACTTGTTTCACAAAGCCAAGTGAGAAATCGAGCAACGCTGTTCAGAAGATCATACTTTTCTGAAGGGCACCCCCCAATACCCCCCCAACACATCCCGTTGGGAAAGACTAAACTAGACCATGTTTGGAGGTGTGTTTGGGGGGGCGGTGTGTTTGGGTTGTCCTAGAAAAGACTATATATGGGAGTGTGTCTCAAAATATACCCAAGAAATGTTGATGTTCCTGTTCCCTTTCAAGACCAACGCGAAAAAGGGTACCCCCCAAAAATAAGACACCCATACTACCCATACCCTCCCAGAGGCTCCCAATCCATTTAGGACCCTACAGCGAGGTTGTGAGACCCCCAAATACCTCCGGGGTGTCCAATGGGGTCAGGGCTTCCATTGAAAGCCGAAGCCAGGAGCCTTTGTTGTTTCCCCATGAGAACTCGTGAGCGAGGCGCTTGGACTCACAGCGCGTGCGGACGCCGGCTGCATCAACGTTGCAGCCCAAGCCAGTGCCAAGGCGTGTTGAGAGATGTGGAAAGTGGTACAGGAAACTTTGTTGCATTTTGCCAAGGGATGTTAGGACTTTAACTTTTTGCCAACGAATGGGTTTTCCATTAAACAACTAAAAGTTAAACTTTTAGCAGGGGAGCAGATTTCGCAACCGAGGAAAGGACAATCCTTCTGCGAGCCTTTAAACAAAAGCACACGCACGATGACATTGCCTTTTGTTCGCTCTTTTGTCCAAGAGAATAGGAATCGATACCTCTGACTAAACATGTTGATCTCTCGTTTTGGGGCTGGGAGGAGACCCAGATTTGGTGGATTGTCTAGAAATCACACCCAAAGAACATGATGATTTGCGAACACCATGTGCACGGGACATATCTGTATAGCGCTTGGTTTTGTTCTTTGCCCCCAGCGCAGCGACCGTGTTGTTAGTTATTTCCCATGTTGGACAAAATATGTTTGCCTTCGCTAAGTCCCCCCCCCCCCAGTGCCTTCCGAGAACGACCCGCTAAGGGGAAACAAATGGGATTTGTTGACATCACGTCTTAATTTAGGTCCTGGAAGCATATATATATGCTTTGCGATCTAAAAGCAACGGGGCACTAAAACAAATAACACGCTCAATGATAAATATGGTGTGCTTCATGAAATTATTTATATGTAGAGAGAGCGAGGGAGGGAGGGAGGGAGGGAGGGAGGGAGGGAGGGAGGGAGGGAGAGAGAGAGAGAGAGCGAGAGCGAGAGATAGAGAGTTGCTCAACTTGGTTGTGTAGAATTCAATGAGGGAGCAGTACGTTGTTCCTTCATGTTATGTCGGCTCATCATGGTATTTTCGTGGCATCAACATCTTTCTGCGCATAACGAGCGCATCCGGAGGCAGGGTTGGGAACACTTCTTCAAGGTGGGTCTATCGCAAACATGCTCTTTCCTGACAAATCATGTGAGCTCACCTGGCAGGATAGAACGAGCTTATGATAAGGATTCCTTATGTGGGGATTCCTTATTTCAGGATAGTGAGCTACAGGATGGGTCCGACGTGACATCATCTCGGGATTTGCGCAGCCAAGAAACCGCAAAACCGAATGGGGCCTTATTCCTTTCTTGGCTGGCTCACACATCGCGCTGTGGAATACCCACCAACAACCATGTCCGCGCGAAATTGGTCGCCACGCTTCAGGGCTCCAAACAGTTCCAGCATTTCCGGGCTGTCGGGGAACCAATGTGGCTCGTCTTCTTTTGGAGTTGGTATACCCCTTGTTCCGTGGCTTTAAAGGGAAACCAAGAGGAAGCAAGACCATGTTGGGTTCAATTGGGTTCCCCAAAAAACCGACTTCGTCGAAACAACTGCTTTTTTTCCACACATTTGTTGATCAGATTGTTCTTTCGAATTCTTGCGAGCAGAACCGCGGCGGCTCCTCCGACAGCGTGTTTCTGGCCAGATGTGACCCCAAACTTGCACAGATACCACCTTTAAAGCAATTTTGGGGTCTCAAGTTTCATCACCGTTCAGGATCGTCATCCAAGTTGGGTCCCCTCGGGCCATTCTTCTGGGGGCAAGTTGAACCTGGGGGTACCTGGGCTGATGTTTTCTCGCCTGGGAAAAACTCCAGGACCATCAGTGGCAGCTGGCCTGCAGCCTGTGCTTCTCTATGGGCCATCAAAGCATCTCCAAAGCAGCTTGGTGCTTTTTAGCTACCTGGATGGGTCATTGACCAATTTTTAAAGGGTCATGGAGACTCCAGGTACTTTTCTGTTGGTTTAGTGGTCGGGTTCACATTCAACCCACATATTATGTTTTTGCAGGGGATCTCAGGACAGCCAAGATAACAAACTTGCCAGTTTGGCTTGTGCCACTTCCAACAAAAAGGAAACAACTAAGCGACAAGGGCGGGGGTAAGACTAGAGACGGAGCTTATCCACTAGGCCACAAGAAGTGTTCAGCATCAAGTTTAATTAGTGTGATTAGTACAGAGGATGACATTTGGGCACGTTGATCAAGTTTTCGAGTTCCCATGTAGGTTTGCCTCTAAATGAGGGAGTCCCGAAATGGGTATTCCTTTGAAACATCTCTCAAAAAGACGTCCCCATTGAGGGTGTGAAGAGAAGGACTTTGCGGAGTCAAAAGCAGAGGCAGAAAGCGATGACAGCTTTTTGCAATGGAAGCTGAGCATTGGAGACTCTTGTTCATTGCTTGGGTGTTTGATTCGCCAGGTTAGTAAGTTGTCGGTAACCGTTGTAACCCACTTCTGGTGGGGTTAACAAAGTCAGTCGTGGGTTATAACTTATAACCCATGTGCCTGAACCCTCAAAATTCCAACTTAAAAATGGGTTTGACCCCCAGAATTAGGGTTGGTGATCTCCCATTTTTATGGGTAGTTTGAGGGATAGCCCATGTGGCCTTTTTCCCTTGCGAGCTGGGCGAATCGAAGGCCCACAAGGCTCATGACCCCCATGCCAGGCCTTGGGCCCAATGAAGAACCCGGCCGGGCCCTTGACTCAAAATCGATTCGGGTAGATGGATCCCCTGGCCATAAATGGCTGCGGATATATCCGCCTTCAATCTTGAAGCATGGTTCTGGGACCATTTTAGTACCGATCGGTTTTGATTATGTCTCAAGTTGTTACTTTGTGAGATCCTTGAGGCTTTCCATGGCAGGATCCCCTCCCTCCATGTGGGTGAAATCCACAAAAGGCGCATCCAAGCCGTTTCCTAGATTAGGGCAAGGCTTCCATGGAATTTCCGCCGCGTCCCCGCCGAATCCCCCAGCGCGCCGAGCTCGGATTCGCAAAGTCCCGAGGACTCGGTGAGCGACACGGCCGCCATCCTGGGCTTCGGCGGCTGGGTGCGATCAAGAGCTCGCGTATTTTATATATGGCTGCGGCTCAAAAAAGTGGTACCAAATTGGCACCTTGGCCAATGGAACCAAAGACTAAAGCCCGCGTAACCCCAGCTCTTTGATTTTGAGCCATACCCATATGTGTTGTGCACGTTAAAGGAACCTAGAGCACCCAAATTCCCTTCAAAAAGGCAGGGTGAACCCCAGAATACCGGGGTTCAAAAAAAAATTGACGGGGTTAAATATGGGGTTAGTTTACTTTTCCCAAGATATACAGTGACTTGTGTATGTTTACATCTATGGAATTTCCCAACCTGGGAGTTTTATATGTTTGCCTTTTTCCCCAGCGGAAACCACAAGGGAATGGACAGGTGTTGCGTTTTTTTGCCAAACGGAAACCAAGGATCGATGGATAACTGTGTGAGTTGTCCGGCCCCGATTCCCGACACAAAACACTCAGGCTACGGCCTCCGTTGGCAGATGGCCTGCCTGCAGCGGGAGCCCTGGTCGTTTTCGAGACGCGTCGGGTGCGCGGTTTGGGGGCGGTTGCTTCAGTTGAGCCACCGTGCTCAAAACCGATTCGGGTAGATGAAGGTTAGTAAGGAGCAGTCCCAACCAAAAGTAGTTGCGGCCGCCTTCTTAGTTCTTTACACGGTTCTGGGTAGACCATTTTAATATCGGGCAGTTTAAGTTGGTTTGGGGGCCTAAACTGTTTCTCAGAGAGCCTTTCACGGGAGGGACCCCGCAACTGGTTTGGATTTCAGGAAGTTTCAGGCAGAAACTCGCCTGAAAGACCGGATGAAGCCAAAGCTGCCCGAAATTACCCGGGCACCACACTCGTTTGCGCGATCCCCCGCTAGGGGCTGCCAAGGTTTCAGGGACCTCGACTCAAACGGGCGTGTTCTGGTCACTTGCGACAGAGGACAATGGTGTGTGTAGCATCCGAAAAGAAGTCACTTGTCAAAACCCCGTCAAGGGTTCACCCAACCTTTGCTCGAGCTTTGCCGAATTGCAAGTAAAGCACCAAACAGGGCGGCCTTTCCATCTGCTCCTGCACCACAAGAATCAGAAAGCACCCTCCCAATCTTGATAAGAAGATCTGCATGGACAACCCCGCCCGACCTCCCAGATTGTCTCGGTCTGCATTTTTGGCGAAAGATTCTCGGTGCAACTTTTAGGAAATCCACAGAGCACTTGAACTTAATTGGGAAACCAGTTGGTTGGAAAGCAATGAAGCAACAAGACACACAAAGGATCCCCAAAATACTCCGCCTCAAGGACTGTTCCTTTTAGTTTCCCTTTAAAATCACGAAAAAGGATGCGCTCAAAAGGATGAGCCGCCCACTTGGTTGCCAGTTGGTTTGATCTTTCCCTTTCTAGCTATTGGGAACACAACTGGCTGAAGCCACTGCCGCAAAGCGCAAGGCTGCTTCTAGCAACTTCTTTTGGCGATTGCCTTCAGAGAAGCAACCCGCATGAGTCTAGGGGGTGGTTAAAGAACTTGGTCAAAGGCAATCCCGTGATGCAGGACACGCTCCAGGGGTTTCCTGATCAAGAGCAACCACCCAGATTTGTCCGAGGCTGCCAGACAAGATGCCGTCCAGCCTCCACGCAGGACTTCTTTTTTTTTTTTTCTCGAGGGTGTCTTGAGTTTTTCAGGATCCCGAAAGGACATCTGCGGCTCAACGCTCAATGCGCCTGTGAGCCAGCACTCGCGAAAGGGTCGAAGGGCGTTCAAGGGTGCTCCGGTGAGCTTTTCAGATGTGGCGATGATTTTTGGCATGGAATGTCCGCGGAAAGGAGGCTGGTGAAAGCCGCGCAATGATCCGGAGCCCTGTAGCCCGCAGGGAACCTGCCGGGCCCAAAACGAACCTGTAACTGTCGCTGGCAAACGCACGAAAATCCGACTTAGCCTGGAGAGCGGTAGTCAAATTGATGAGTAACGCTAGTTACAAGGGTTTGACAGGACTTGGCTAGAGTGTTGCTTGGCTAGAGTGTTAGCTCTAAATTGCTGACTGGGAACCCTAGTTACATGGATTTGACAGGGGTTAACTGGGGTTTCAAAGGGAGTTACAGTTCCAAAGCTATTGGGGGGATGCTAACTATGAAATTCTCCCCAGAAATGCGCAATACAAAGCATGGCGTCATACATGTGCAAGTCGTTTTAGCTGCGTTTTGGACATCAACAAAATGAGTCATTCTTTGTGGCTATGTGGTTGATTCTTTGGACTGAGAAATTGCTTTGGTTGACACGGGTCGGATTTTCCGTACTGGACCCACAACAAGTGTTCAACAGCTTTTTGCAGAGGGGTCCACAACAGCAAAGCTGTTTGAGATCAACCGCCACAAAGGGCCTTTGCTTTCTTTTTCAATCGACATCTGGTGGCATGGGCAAGCAGACTTTTCTCCACCCGATCCGAAAATGTTTGCCGCGCTCCGACCCGAACTTTGGTGCATGTTGCTTAAATATTAAAACTTTCACTTTTACCAACTCATAAGTTTTCCAAAGAACCACTCAAAGTTATTCACTTTTTCGCAGGGGAGCAGATGTCGCAACCGAACGAAGAAAAAGCGGCAGTCCGCAGTCCGTCAGGCGCGCTGCTGGGGGCCCTTAGCGCCGCCAACGCCTGGCGCGCAGCTCTGGAGCTGCCGGTCGAGAGCCTCACCAGCGCCGCCAAGGAACTCGAATCGGATCGGTCGAACGGGACGCGTGGGACGACTGGGACGAATGGGCGCTAGCACCCCGCCTCTCTCCAAATCCCCACCACTTTTGCGGGGTATGATGTCGACCCTGTAACAAAGAATGGGAGGTGGTGAGCATGGAAAGCCTGGTTTTGGGACAAGTGCCCCCAAAGCACGGGTATTTGGAGTAGGGGGTCGATCTGAGTTGAAGCAGGAAACCCTTCGTCGTTTCTGATGAGTTCAGGGGTGGCTCCCTTCCTAAACGGGTAAATGGAATCGCTGGGATTCCTCTAAACATGACCGGCGTTTGGGTTCCATGTTCATTTAGGGAGCAACGAAAGTGATTTCGATGTCATGTCTTTCAGAGTTGTGTATTTGCAAGCCTCAATCAAAAGAGGATTAAGCCCTGCCTCAGAGACACATTGGTAGTGGGTCTTCCCTGTGGTTCAAACCACCATTAAAGCAATGGGGTTCATACAACCACCATTATTTACCGTTCAGGATTGTTCGCATCTAAATTGGGTCCTTGCTTTTTTGTTCATGGGGGTTGAATTTTAGGGAAGCCCAGAAACAAGCCAAAAGGTTAAGGTTCCAAAAGGTTAACCTTTAGTAAGTTCCAGGTCCTTCGGCCACTGAGAGACACATTGGGGCCGCTGTATTTGTGGCGTGACAAGGCCTTTGGAGAATCCCACCTTTGCCTTACGTGATAGATCGAAGCACATGGGCGCCTTTCTTTTTGTTTGTGGTGCTGTTCGTTTGTGGTTTTATAGGGGCACCACAAGGAACACCACCTGCTTTTTTTGGGTGGGGGGGTACCATGAAACATCATACCCAAAGGAATGCCCGTGTGTCCAACTATTTAAGGAAGGCCAGAGCTTATCTTTGAGATCCTGTCTAGTGTCGTCGCAAGATCGGGATGTTGCTCAAGCTGTGATACCTGGCAAAAGTTAGCCCGTCACTCTTTAAGTAAAGCGCTACTAGTGATATCGTAGTTGTTGCAACTCCACAATGAACTGGGCAATCAAGTTGGAGCCACCGAAAGAAGTGCAGAAACTCTGAGAGAATAATAACAATAATAATAAAACAAATGGCGGGGTGGGTCCCTCTATTTCTCTCTGAGTGTGAAAAGTCAGCCCCAAGTGCTGGTTTTGAGGAGGGGTACCGTGCCCAACTCCCTGGTGGTCGAGAGAAGCCCAGTTTGGGCGAGCACGCCATAGCAACGTTGAGCACTGCCCATCATCTACTGTGGCAAAAGGGAACGGGGGCACACTCACCAAACTCGAGGAAATGCAAAGGGGGGATACGGGATACTCACCAAATCCCGTGTCATGTGCTAACCCCAAAAAATGAGGTGGTCTCCTTCTGTTCTGATGGCTGAAAAAACGCAAGGCACCCACGTCACGGCGCGAAAATTCCCGGTGGTCTCGGCCAAAAAAAAAGGGGCCGGTGTTCGGGTTTTTTCGGGCCAGGTGTCCTGGCGAAAGGCGCTGGCCGCCCTGGCTTCTCTGCGGAGGAATGGGCTTCAAGAGGCGGGAACCCGCTGACTGGTCAAGGGAAACCTAGAGGAAACCCGCCATTTTGAGCGTTTTGGGTTTCGGTCAAAATTGGGAGGGTCACGAAGCTGACTGCTTGGCCCTGGACGGCCATGCGTTTCAGCTTGGCTGTTTAGAGTTGTGGTTTTAGTGTTTAGTGGTTGGATTTCCATTGAACCCAGCACTTGAACTTTTAGCAGGGGATCTGAGGCCCCCATGTACCGTGTGGTTGGCATTTCCACTTTTGACTTGTGTCGGAGCGGGGGGGTACCCCTAAAAAGGGCAAACGCAGCCGAACAGCTTGTTTTGAGGGAGGGAGGGATGGGGGGGTTCTTGGAGGAAACAGCTGCTCGACCCTAAAAATGGAAGGAAAAAGAGCAGCGAAGCAGCTTGTTTTTTGGGGGCTTGCTAAGCAAAACAAAGCCCGCAAAAAACCAGGCGCGCCCTGGAAATCAATGAGCTGCCTTGTGTCTTGTGTGGATTTTCCGAAATTCGCCGCCATGGACATGCCTGGACCCTCAAACCACCCATAAAAATGGGATATCACCCACCATAATTTTGGGGGTCAAGCCCATTTTTAAGGGATTTTTGAGGGTAGGTAGCAACAAACTGACTGTTTTTTGCAGACCCCCAGTAAAAATGAACAGAACCAAAAAACCGGAAAACTAAAAAACCTGATCCAAGACACAGGTGGTGACATCTCACACACGGCCCTTCGCTCGCGCACCCGCCAGGGCGTGGCAGGGCGCGCAGCTCTGGGCGCCGCGCTGCTGAAAGCGCAGTGGCGCAGGGGACTCCTCCTGGCGGAGCACCTCGATTTGTCTCAGCCCGAAACGAATCGGCATGAATCGGCCTGGCCAAACTTCGGTCCCCGAAATTTGGGGTGGGTAGTTTTTGGTAGGGGACCCCCAAAATGGTGGTCTAGGTCCCCCAGTACTGCCCTTTTACCCTTCTTTTGGGGAGGGTTCCCCTACTAAAATAGGCTACAGAAAAAGGGTACACTTATTCTAACCCCTCTACTGGAGGACCTAGTGGTTGTCTTTCTGACCAAATTGGCTTTCCCATGTTTCGTGTTTCATGCAAAGGTGCCAAACAGGTGATCGCCTTTTCTTTCCGGATCCTCGTAGTTTTGGGTTCCCAGGTTTCGATCGTTCCCCTGTCACAGGTCTCGACTTAAAAGACATTTGCCAATTTACAGCTCACACAGGACTCGACTTACAAGATGGTGTTTGCCAGCACCAGATTCAAAGGCAACCACCGTAGAACCCCATGCTTGACTTTGAAGTTCCTCTTGGTAGGTTTCGGCATGCAAAGTCCGAGGCGTCCCGTTCAGAGGATATGTTGCACCCTTTGTTGAAAGGGGCCCTCATTGGAAACCAGCCCAGAGCCCAGAACACCAGCCCCTTGCGGACGTCCATGTTTGGCTTCAAGAGCGTAGTTGCCTGTTGAGAGCATATGGAAAGACAAGAGCAAAGGGGAGAAGGCCGAAACACTCGACAAGCAGAAGAAAGGCTACCCCCATGGGGTTCACTTCACGAGTAAAAAAATGGGGTTCACACAACCACCACTGTTTACCGTTTAGGAATGTCACCATCCAAATTGGGTCCAAAGGCCATTCTTTCAATGCGGGTGGAGCCCTAGGGCAGCGCAAATCTGCTGCCTGAACCCTCAAAATTCCATCTTAAAAATGGGTTTGACCCCCAAAATTATGGTGGGCGATCTCCCATTTTTATGGCTAGTTTGAGGGTCCAGGTGCCAAGAAATGCCATCAGCACCAAACTCTTCGGGCTTTTCGACCGCCTCCCGACCGCCTCTCGACTTGCTTCTCGACTTCACGCGCCCCAGACATCGCGTAGGCCTGGCTTCCCGTAGGCCCCATACAGCCCAACGAAGATTTTTTTCTCGTGTGTTCAACGTTCAAGCAAGGCAAAACAAACTTAAGCTTCAAAATGTTGGTCGACTTGAATCATGTGTTCATTGTTTCCCCCCCCCCTTTTTTTTTCTCCCGGCATCGAATTCACTGGAAATGTATGTTCTCATGTTTTGCAGGGTTCAGCAAAAAGGAAGAGTTCAAGCAAGGCAAATGAAACTATGAAGCCCCTGCCGTTTGGGGGCTTTCCGGTTCCGGGAAATCCCGCTGGGTGTTTACCCGATCGCCGCCCAGCTTCGCCGCTGCCGCGGAAGCGCTCCATTACCGCCCCGCGCGGCTGCCGGCGCTGCTTGGGTCGGCAGAGGCGGAGGCCTTGGCCAAGATGAGGCGCAGTCGAAAGCCGAAAGCCGAGAGCTGAAGCTGGGATCTTCAGTGGTTTCTGTTTCACCCCCCCGAGTTTTTTTTTTTGTGTCCGTTTCCTTTCCGAGTTTAGCGCTGTTTTTTTGTTTCATTTTGTTTTGTCCTTTTTGATGATTTTCTGCTTTTCCCGGGTTTGAGTCTGCAGCATCGGGCTAAACACGCCCAAGCCTTTGCGCAGTCTTTGCGACGGGGATGTGCGGTTTGTGACCCTGGAAGTCCAACCTGGTGCTTTCCCAGTTGGATACCCTGGAAGTCCACCCTCAAGACAAGGGAGCCATCAAACTTGGTGCTTTCCTATCCGGTTTCCCTCAAAGAGAGTACCATCAAAAAGACACCCAAAGATACCTTTCACAGGATGAAGGCCATGTCCCTATGGCCGATGTTGGCAATTCGAGCTTGCGGTCCTCTTTTGTTTGCCCATCGGTGAGCTTCCGAAAGGTTGCTCAATCAACATGGACCTTTGGGTTCCATAACATGAGTCATAATTAATCACCACCTGGTATTCAATCGGTCCCGAACCATGATAGGAATTCAAAAGGCGGCTGCACCCATCTAAATTCTGGTTTTGAACTTTCTCCCTTAAAAATTCATATACCCGAATCGGTTTTGAGCACGCTCTGACTTTGTTCGAAGCCCTCTGTCCGCGTTCCACCGAAGTTCCGGCCCAGGCTGCCGAGGTCGTCAGGCCGCCAGCCCGAGCCGCGATGGGAAAAAGGAAGTGACGAGCCGCGCGCAGCAGTCGCGAGTCGCGCGGGACGGCGGGACGACGGGAAGGGGAGTCACAGGTTTTACGGGGGGCGGGGGCTTGAGTGTGGGAGGACAGTCCATGAAGTGCGCAGGGAATACATCCATTGAATTCTGTTGTTTCAGTTTGGCCTGGCACCTGCGAAAGGTGGGCGTACTTCTAGGTTCTTACATGCAGACCTCTGTTTCCAAACGGCATGGGTGCTTGCTGAACATCTTTCGTTTGTGGTTCTCGTTCGCGGTTGTTGCGCTGTCGAGTGACAGCATGGTGCTTGACCAACAGCACAGCAGCACTTGAAGAACATGCCCAGTTATCACCACAATGCCCGTACTTGCGTAATTGTTCCTTTGAAGCTTGGACAAAGGGATTCCATTGACATTTGTTTGCGCAGGACTGGAATTTAGATTGACCCCCAACCGCGCTACCCCATCCAAGAATTTGGCCCTGCCCAAAGTCCAATGTGTTAGACAAGTTGGGGACAATTCATATTGACCGTGTCCGAAAGCAGAAGGAACATCTATAAGATGTCCCGGTGGGGGGAAGACTGTTATCCACAAGGTGGGGTTTCCGCCGATACCAGCCGTTCAGTCTTATTCACTTAAATTATATATGTGCATATTTGTCTACATGGATATTCCTAAGCAACAACTTTCTACATGATTCCGAAATAAGGATACAAAACACTGTCCACTTCTTTCGAGACAAGACGCTTATTATTCCCAATCCTGCCTCTGCGTGATGGTCCCCAGCCACAAAAGCTTGGAACTCGAGTTCCACAAATTTCCCGCAGAGATTCGCGTATTTCCCGCCGAGGTCCCTGCATTATTCGCGTTTTCGGCAGTCCATGGACACAACCACCTGCGAATCGCAGGGTAAAGTGGGCTCATTCGATGGCAAAACCGTCATCCGTCTTGGGGCCACCACCCCGGAACTGTTGAAGCACATTGTCTTCCCCAGCCGAGTTCAAGGCAGCGCACGTTTTTGCACGCCCTTTCGTCGGCAGTCGCTTTCAGGGGCAGAATGTGGGGTCCCAAAGAACCTAGCAACAAAAACTCAAAGATAGGACGCTGGCATCTCTGATCCAAGAATTGTCCATTTGCATACCTGGGTCTTCCATTCTGTGCGAAACTATTGCTGCTTTGGTAAAAACTATATGTTTCTTAACCAAGCGGCGATTATTTCGGATGCTGGAAGTTCCAGGTATGGAAGCCAAGAGATAAAGGCCGCGTGCAGACAATAGCCACAAATCAGCCAGCGTCGGGCTCTGCTTTCTCTGATGCTCACACGTTTGCATCAGGCTTGAGCCAGCTAGCCCTGGTTGGGATTGCCTCTGAAATGAGCTGGGCTGAAGAAATAAGAGCAAGTAACAACCCCCTGCAAACACAAGTTGCACATCCAAGCAAAGAGATATTAATAAAGCCCTTCCATCGTGGGTATGTAGGGTGAGTTTGGACGTTTCTTTCCCTCCTTTTCTATCGTTTGCTGGGTGAACCGACGGGTTATGAACTCACCCACATACACTCGCCTTTCGGCTTCTAATCCTTACAATCATCAAGAGTACAAATCAAACATTCAAATAGACAAATATAATAATACAATATGATTTCATGCCTGGCATGTCAACTCTTGATCATTCACCACCTGTTCGTGTCTTTTATATATCTTGTCTCTTCTTTCCCTCGATTTCTGGAGTTTCCGAAGGTATCCACATGTTGCGGAGTTTCACCCAAACAAGCAACTAAGCAGAACAACTGCAATAGGCAAGACTTGGTTCCTAGTTGATGTTGCTCAACAAGGAATCGGAAAGAACCGGAAGGGTCCCGAACCCCCTGAGGAAAACCACACAACATTGAAAATAGAGGTCATTCCCTTATTCCAACCAACCTGGATCTTCGTCCTCCTGAAAAAAAAAGAACGTAGTTTCCGCCTTTGACTGGATATTCAGGAAATCGTAGCACTTTTTGCCGCAAAAACCTGAAACTCCTAAAACTCCTAAAAAAACACACACTATTGCAATGCTCGTGGCCTTTAACAGGTTAAAAGAAGCTTTGCAGGGTTTGTTCGACTTAAAGCAGCCCGAAAGTTTGTCAACACATGCACCGGCGGTCCAAAGTTGTGCAGTGCAGAAAGAACGTGCCCATTTTGACCGCAAAACGGCCGCAAATTTCCGCAAATCTCCCGCAAAAACCCGCAAACTCCCGCAAATCAGAAAAAGTCGTAGTTTTGGCATCCCATGGGGTTCACTGGCACGTTGGCAAGTGCTGCGAGGTGTATTTACTTTGTATGGCCAATGCACGACTGGAAACGACGCAATTCGTATGTGTTTTTGCCCAAATTGTAGCTAAACCACTGGAATTCGGTAAATCGTAGGGGTCTCCTAAAACACCTTTCCCGGAGTTTGAAGGTCCAGGAACAAGGTAGCCCCCCGTCCAGGCTGCCATGGAACCAACCCAAACTGGATTCCAATATGTTGATGGGAAACCAAGAAGGACACCTTTTGCATGTCTCAGTCCCTGATTGGATGAGCAAATTAGATGTCCCTTGTCTTGTTTTTTGCCAACATGGTCCAACCCCAAAAAGTGACCAAACCAGGACCCCTCAGTCATGTGCCCTGTTCGTGGGTTCAAGAGTTCGGATTGCATGGAGTTATGCCCGTGGATTTCAGACGGAAAAGTGGGTGTTTTCACGAACAGTGATCCGCATCCCATCTAAACTGGGGCATTTCTGTCAAGTTTATCCGAGGGTTCGTTGGACCTGCCTTCCAACTACGAAGCCTGTTTCTCCCGTTTACCCCGCCCATTTTGTTTTAAACACCCAAGGCACCAGAGTGGAAAGGGTCATATGTTTGACACCCCTGCCCCAACCGGGCGGTTGCCGAGACGCTCTCTCGCGTCCGTACGCCACGCCGACGCCACGCCGACGCCACGCGGACGCGCCAGGGGCGCTCCATCGGGCACTTGCGCCGGGCGGTGGGACCCTACGAGGACTCCTTGAGGCGTCCGGAAAATGGAGGGCTGTTCTTGGGGCAGCTGGCGGAACCAAGCAGCTGGAAGGGAAAGCCAAAAGGGTATGGGTGAAAATGAAGCCAGGATATGTTTGTCCTTGTTTCTTGTTTTGTTTTTTTCCCCATTTGGGGTATCTATATGTATGACAACGTCACACCCCAAAGGAGCCTGTTTTAGGATTATTATAGTGGTTTAAACATGTTGAAACCAGGCGTTGGCCTAACTCCTGGTTCTCCCCACGGACCCCTGATGAAAACACTCTCCACTTATTATTGAGGGGAGGTCCTTTTTTCGAGGGAGTCTTGTATTCCAAGACGCCCCAATCAATTTGGACGGGGTTATGGGGTACTATGAAACCAAAATTACATGAACCAAGCGTAAACTGTCCATTTCGGCAAAATCATGACGAGCTCGCCCGCGGGTAACTTGCATACAGCCTGTTGCATACGGAAAAGCGTGGCTCGGGTAGTTCTTTTGTTGGAGGCCGAAGACATGCAAATTACCTGTCTGAGTAACGCCATATTAGCTCGTTGTGTGGGTACTTGAGGCGCACCTGAGGTTTCTTTCGTGGCACTCTATCAATTATTCCTCGTGACTTTCTGGACATCAACTGTCTATGGCATTGGGGTTCCTTTGCCCAAAAATAACACCCTGCGACCTGGAGACCTGATTTGGATCGAACTGTTCCCAACGCCCTGTGCGGGATTCGGCTCGCAGGCATTTGGGCGTCAAGTGAGCCGAGCGGCGACTCCTGCGCCATTCGGACGCCCCTTTCGGGCGTCCAAATCCGAAGGGAATTCCAGGTTTGGCTTGAAGGAATCAGATGGACACCAAAACTGGGATACCACAAGCCATGCGATTTCTGAACTCATTCCGGCCTTTTCGATTTTTTTTTTTTTTCGGTGCCAAGAGGACGCCATCTCGGAGGCCTTGAAGACTGAGACACATCTGGAAATTGCGAAGAGTGTGAGCGTGTGAGCGAGACAATGGCAGATGGAAGGCTGGTTTTGTGGACAGCTTGCTGGGTGTTGTAGCCAAAGCCCGGCGTAGGTTTCTATCCGTTATTTTGATTTCACATTCGTCTAGTTCTTCAGCCCAGATGGCCCTGCCCCGGTTGAGACTTGTTTCATCGGGTACGCAGTGATACGCTTGCCGCAATCTGCGCAGACAAACAGCAGTGACACTTCATGAGCATGCGCCATGTTACATGACACGTATATCCACGTGAGTATTGACGCCAACTTTAATGTTCGTGTCAAGGGCTATGCTTGGTTGCTCACTTTGGGTACATTCCGGTACCTGGAGTCTCCTTCTGACCCTTCAATGGCTGCCCCTTGTTTGGGGGGTACTGTAGATGACCCCATTTTTCAAGGGTCATGACTCCAGGAACCTCTTGGGATGGTTTCGACTATGAAACCTAGTTTGAGTCTGGTTGGGCACTGCCCACCCAAAGTTGTCGGAGCTTTTGTCGGACATTACCAGTCAAAAGTGGCAAAGGACAAACCAATTGCAAATAAAGTAATAATCACTTCCCATGAACAAAAGGTCTCCCTAATAGATTGTTTCAAAAGTCCCAAATCCAGGAAGGAGTACTACTTAAAGAGCTTTCTCTCCTCCTCTTCACACAGAAAAGAGGCGGACCTCAGGGGTTTGGACCCCAAGGGCCGTACGAGGTCCCAAGTTCCTTTTGGTGTCCTTTCTTACCAAAGTCTCTCCTTCCCAGATCTTGGAGGTATTTGTCTCTCCTTCCAAGATGGGCGTGGCTCAAAATTAAACAGAAGGGGCAAACCGCAGGTTTTGACATTTTGGTCCATGTTTCCACTTGCCAGGGGTCCATTTTGGCACCGGGTTTTTGAGCCACAGCCAGATCTTGGAGGTATTTTTCTGTTTTGTTTCCCCGCCTGCCCTGAAGCCTGTGGTTCGCGTGTGGTTTCTCTCAAGACCATCAGACCGCGCTCACAAGCGACCTTACAAGGGGAGTTTACGACCTTGGGCTTCATTCAGGCTGCTGCCATAGGACACCTTTTCGTTGTGGGTCGATGACTCATGATCATTTCCCTCCGAAGAATCAACCGCTACCTGGGCGGAGGGCTTTTTGAGACTTTAAGCCTTCCAACGCAGAGAGTCCAATGCTTGGGGCACCTAAACGCTCAAGGCGTTTGAAGGAGCGAGTTGCCGCAGTGGGCAAGAGCCCATCCCTGTGGACCGGGCCAGTGTACATAGCCATGGGATGAAAGGGTTCTGCGCAACGGTTCCGATCGCTATGGAAGGAGAGTCATGTCCAAGATGGTGCAACCACTACCCCCAACCCAAATCTGCCCCCACAGGTTTAACTGGAAAAAAGGGCCACTCTATGGCCCCCATATCAAGGGTGGTATACGCTTTGTATGCTGGAGGTAGCTTCGGTTTGGGGCAGTGGAAACCATCATGGAGTGTGGAGCACTCGAAAGGAACCCATTCCTTAGAACTCATGGATCACCCAAATCGTGTAGACTAGCTCGCCAACAGCAGTGCGGCCAAAGAGGCGCCTCGGTCCGGTGCTGTGTCGCTGAGACAGATTCGCGTTTCACATTGGGCAGTCCTTCTTAGGGAAGCAGATAATGCAGGACAACGCATTTCAGTTGCGATGCCTGGATTGTCTTGTGTTTTCTTTGGGTTTGTCATACTATTGCATACTAGGGGGGGGGCATTGCCCCAATGACACAGAATTGACAAATCCCTCAATGGGTGCAATACCGCTGTCCTTGTTCGTGCGCCCTTGGTGCCTTTGTGAGCCCTTGTGGAAGAGCTGGGCCTTTTTCGTTTTTTTCGTGTTTCGTGGGAACTGAACGCAGGCGACCTGTTGGTCTTGAAGGGCAATGGAATCCACCAGCCATTCTTGGTACCCTCCCATCCGCATGGAATCCACCAGCCGTTAGAGGAACATGATCTTCCGGCCCTCAGACAGGTTTGAACCAGTAGCAAGGCGGCAAGGAAAGTCCACTTCCTGGGTTCTCTCAGCTTTAAGCGTGTTGTGTTTGGACCAGTTTAGTGGCAAGCAAACAGTTAGGACTTTTTTGCGGGCCCACTCGGGAAGTGAGTATTTTGCGTATCATTCCGTTCCGTGTGAGTGCCAGGCGAGAGATGGGTTTCGGACGTGCCGGTCATTCGATTCCCCCCCAAAAACACACCTGGGGCTCATTCCGCACTTCCTACAGCTGCATTCTAGACACATTCTGGACAGATGTAGAGCACTGCTGTGCTAAAGCTTCCTTTTCAGTCAGGCTTTCCACCTGTGTCAATGGGCGTGACATGTTCAGCCCTGAAGACGCCTGGTTCCATGTTTGACATGTATACCCTCTTTCCAACAATCATGGAAGTGAACAAAGGGGTTCCCCAAAAGGAAAATGGTCTTCCAAAACCCTCCTGTCAGCTTCCATGATTGTTGGAGGGAGGGTATATTATTTCTATATACCCTTCTCTCCACATAGCTTAGCATTTGCGGGAGGGCACCAAGATCAAGTTCAAGGGACCCTTCAGCTGCCATGCTAGCAGGAGTGGTGCATATGTCTGAGAACCGTTCTACACCTTCACCAGGAACAGGAACCAGCAAGAAAGCGGATCCATCTTGGTAAAGGTCGTTTTTGCCCATTGCCGTCGTGTCGAAAGGACCCAAAGTGGGAACAGCAGCCCATTGAGCCGAGTGACTCGGTTATAACTTACGTTGGTCGGACAAGGTGTCAAACCATAGAATCATAGGTGTCCTTTCGGTGTTGGTTGGAAACAGATGGGTTCCACTGGCTTAGACGGTGTGCCCCGTTTACCGGGGAACTGCCCGGATTGCCAGTCGCTGTTTTTTTCTTCCCCCCTGCACTTTGCCCCAAAAGCCAGCAGTGACTGGAAGAAGCAGCAACTTGGCAATCTAGGCGGTTTGTTTTGGCCCCCAGGTCGACGCATAGAATCCGCCCACTCCCAAACCACGGCAGCCAGGGAACCCTGGAGTTGAGCTTCCCCGTGCGCAGGTGGGTGAGGACTCCTTCACGGAGGACTTCTTGAGGTTCTTGGCCCAGGCGGACAGGCCGGAACGGACCTGGACGCTCCAAATGCCCATAAAAAATGGGTACTACCCCCAAAGTTATGGGGTGAATGCCCTTTTTCCAGCAAGGTTGCTTTACAAACTATTCGAAGAGCCAGGGCACTTCCCTGGCGGGGGCCTGATTTTGCCACGAGAGAGGCGTGACATGTCGGGCCTTCAGGTCTCGCAAGAGCTCACAGGCCCAAGTTGTGAGACTGGAATACAGTTTCAGTTTGGAAATCAGATGTTCACCAGGTGGGTCCATAGCAGCTGATTGGTTGCCGTACTTTGGTTTGGACATGGCTTTTCAAAAAGGCCGTTGTTTGGGACTGGCAGGATCATTTTGCAGGGTTCAACCCTAAGGACTCAATTCGGATGACAACCGTTAGGTAAATCATGGTGGTGACATGAAACACGCATTGGTTTCATGGCGGTAGCTGTGCCCTAGGGACATGTTTTTCCCTTCTCTCCACAGATTTTCCGGGAGTGGGTTTGGAGCTCTTAGGCCTTGCAAAGTAGAGTCTCACTGGACCCGCTAGGGATCTCGGTTGCCCTGAAAAAGGGTGGGCCCCATGTCCCTTGCTGGAAGCTCTCAAAGTGGTGAACAAAAAAAAAGCGAATCCAGGGGTGCACTACAGAGTTGGGTTTTTGGGTCTTCAGCATGTTGTCATACTTTGAGACTCACCGGGCTGAAAGCGCTTGGGATCGCTAGCGACATCGGAAAAACACGTGCCAGGTATGGCGCAGTGGGGGAGGACGGCTTCGTCAGCAGCCCAAAGAGGAATTGCACTGTCAGCTGTGGCGATTCATCCCTTGTTCAGACATGAGTGGGTCTCAAAATAGGGGACCCCTAAAATGGTTGGTTTCCGTTTGACAAAACAGACCCGAATGACTGCATTGTTGCAACAGCCTCCTTTCACTTGTCCTTTGAAGGGGCTTTCCATGCTCAGGCCCCGCCCAGAATGAGGGGACCATTCCAACATTTTCGCACGTGAGTGTAGTACATATATGTCAGGAGAAACATTAGGGCAACTAGAAGAGGAAGGGAGGGAGTAAAACACGACAAGCTACGGTTTACTTCTATAATCAAGACGGAGTTTGGTTTTAAGCACACAACCCTGATCGTGTTGTTTGAAATTGGAAAGCCTTACTTTGCCACCCGGATTAAGGTTCCTTCGGCACACTTCTAAGAGCCCGATCTAAGGTTTCCTTCCGAAGCTCGAGGTAGGGTAGCAAGTTCGCTCCATACAGCATATCGTTGCATTCCGTGTTATCTGGGAAGTCGACTTGAAGCCAGCTGTTCAGTTGATTTTGCAAGGCAAAGAAGCCAGAAAGGCAGAGTCTACCCAAGGCCGACGGAACTAGGGGCTTCTTGGTTTGATGCGCAGCCCTGCTTTAACGGGCCGGAGGTTCTGTTGTAGCAAACAGAGATGCTGGTCTTTTTTTGGGGGGATGTGGAGCAACCATTGAAAAGGTTTTCATTCACACTTTTCAGGTCAATCAAATAAGCTTGTGCGTAGTTTGAGGGGTGCTCTTGTAGGCTACAAAGCACCGAAGGGCAAGCATGTACTATTTTAAACGGATCCTTTGTCTCCAAAACCCGCAGGCAAATCTGGCGATCATTTTGGCTTAAGCCTCTCTGGCAGGGTCCATGGGTGGACCCTGGAAGCCGGGAGCCTTTCAAATGGCCTCGTTGGATGTGCAGAAATGACCACGAGCGCGTGATGAAGATTCTTTGAGTTGTTATTTCTGAGATTCTGGTTTGAGAGATTATAGAATCCCTGGGGATAAAAGGCTTTTAAAACAAAGGCCTTTACATGAGCATGCTTTGTTTGGCTAGCTGGAAGATGGGGGCCTGGGTGGAAGCCAAACTTTATTGGGAATGTTGATGCAGATTGTATGGTTTGACGCCTGGCTCTTCGATGTTCAGGCTCGTAGGTGATTTCGCTCTGGTTACTGGTTGGTAGCTGGTTAGGTAGCTCCCCATCCATTCCCTGTACTAAGTCGGTACATCCAAGTTTCGGTGTTTCCCCAATGCCCCCACCCGCTCTCAGGTATGGGTTTTGTACGGAGATTTAGTTGGCTTTGGGGCATTTTGCCAAGGGATGTTAGGACTGAACCACTTTTTGCCACCTCATGGATGTGTTCCGAATTTTTCACCACTCAAAGTGAGTCAAACTTTTCGCAGGGCCTCGCAGATTTTTCGAGCCACCGAGTTGGCAGATTTCGCCCGTGTAAGCCGATGTTGTGGACCAATAACCAGGCCAAGGACCTCGGATGCTGCAAGGTCTCGGGATTTTTTCAAAATGAAACTTGAAACCCTTAGGGAAAAAAATGGCGCGCCGCTCAAGTGGCAGTTTCGAGGTGAATATTCTAGGGGTTGATTCCCATTCTTTTCAAGCATCATTCTTTTCAACCATCATTCTTTTCAAAAACCAGCTGTTTCCCCTGGAGTTCTGATGGTTTTTTGGAAAGAAGGATCCCTGGAAAGAATGGGGAATTGTCCCCTAGAAATATTCAAGTTCGCCTTCAAGAGGAAGGCTTTCGGAACACCAGTTAAGGGGAGTTTCCATATGGCAATGAATTTTCACAGGGGACCACCTGGAAAGTGATGAACCGGACTCCCCACCGAAATTCGATGTCCGCCAAAGGGTCCCTTCACCCAAATCTTTGGGCAAGGTACGTCAGGTAAGTGGCTAGCAAGCCTGGTGAAATAACCCACCTAGGTCCCCCGCTAAGGTGCCCCTTCTCACCCGATTCTTTTTTGGTTGGGAGGGTTCCCCTGCTAAAATAGACTACCTGGACCCTCAAACTACCCATAAAAATGGGAGATCACCCCATAATTTTGGGGGTCAAACCCATTTTTAAGGGAATTTTGAGGGTTCAGGTAGAGAAAAAGATGGTACCCTTATTCTAGCCTCTCTACTGGAGGACCTAGCCACAGAAGCCATGCTTAGAAGCCCCGCTCTGGAGGCTCGCCCCGTGCGTCAGATCCGCGCGCGGATCTGTTTGGCGTGGCGCCCAGGAAGCGCTGGGAGACGGCTCATAGGGCTCGTCGGTTTTTTAGGAATCGGACCCCGAAACACTTTGGGTTTCCTCTAAAAACCCAGAAAGGACCAGTTTTCTGTCTGCGTGAAACAAACACAGTTTGTTAGGAATCCCAAAAAACACAGTATTGTTTCAGCCCGGTTTGGTGGAAACAACCCTGGTTCGTAGGGGAATCTCAAGGCCAAGGGAAAAGGGAAGACCCATATCACCTGTGCAGTTTCAGGCCCTTTGAGCGCCAAGTTGGGTGTGTTGCAGGGCACTCCGTAAAGTTAACCTCGAAGTCATAAGCCCTCCCCCCACAGAAGGTGAAGCCTCGGATTAGTGGGTTTGGAGGAAAACCAAATGCAAAACAACTTCATGATTTCATTTCTTGTTGTTGTTGTTTTTTTGTTTTTGTTTTTTTTTGGGGGGGTCCTGTGGGGGATCATTGAACTCTCCAATCTCCATTTGGCTTTTTCGCAAAAATCCTTAGGGCGGGCAGAGGTCTGTTGTTCAACTGGGGAGGGGGGGAAGTTGTGGCGAGAGAGGTCTGCGGATGAGTTTACCGGGTTGAAACAAGGGGTTGACTTGCCCAACCCCGGCTGAAACCGTCTAGGAAGCCAGCAAACCATGGATTTTTCAGCCAAACCACTGGTCTTGGCAATGGCCCACAATGTCACAATGTCTTAAATTGGCTCAAAAGGACAGCAATACGACCTGTGTCATTATGTCTTTTGTTCCGGGACCTTCCACAGGACCCCCCCCCCAAAAAAAAGGAAGCAGACCTTTGCCCGCCCAAAAAGCCAAACGGAGATTGGCGAGTTCAATGATAGGGCCTGATCCCTTCAAAGGTTGCTTTGAGAGAGAAGCAGCATGAGCTATGACTTACCAACCATGTGGTTCCCCAGCTTGTGTTGGCACATTCCTTTTTCCAATGAGTAAATTGGGTCGATTTCGAAACTTGGTGTCCACCCTCTTCATGGTTGCTCTGACCAGCCGGACAACAGAAAGAACCCAATTTCGGAAAGATGTTTTTTCTCCGGGGGGGGTGTTGTCTTAGCAGGTTGGATGTTTTCGAATCATACATGGCCACCCTGCTGATTGTACTGAAAGGACTTTTCTCTCAAGCCATATCCAAATCGGTGTGTTTTTGTCGTGGGACCCATCCTTTGGTTTCTCTACAAAGCCTCCGCCCCCAACAAAATCTGAAGAAGTCGGTTGCCAAAAAGAGACGGCGCGGCGGAGCAGCTGCTGGAACGGCCCCTCCGTCTCCGACATCCAGTCGGGCACGGGCACGCTGTGGGCGGCTGACAGCCGAGGCGGGTGACAATAAAGCCGCCGTTCCACACGGAGCTTGCCACGGACGCCGACGCCGGGCGTCCGGGTTGGCTTCGGCTTGAGCCGAAGGGCCCAAACCTTGCTCTCTGTGGATCAACTCGAAGATCCAAACTTTTCCGAACCTTGCTGCAGTTTCGATTTCGAGCTCCAGAAGGCCTGCGCGGGGCCTCTTGAGCTGGCAATAAGTCTATGAACAAGGCACTGAAAGGGCTCCCTCGTATGCCAATCTTCCAAGAAGAGCCAAGTCGCTTTCTGTTTGTGAATCAACCTGGGGCTGTTCCAGCGATGGGGCCTGTGCTCCTGTCCTTTTGGGCGGTCCCAATGGTTTGCACACATGGGTCTGTCTATTGTAAGGTTGGCCCTCAAAAATGGGCGGTGGTCCTTTTCGTTTCCCTCTACACATCGTCCACTCAGTTGTTCAGTGGCACCCTTTTTCCCCCTTTTCTTGGTGACTGCCCCACTCAAAATGGTCCAAGCCCCAAACACCTGAGTCCAATAAAGGTAACTCCAAAGCCCAGGCCCTTGATCCCCAACAGCCCCGGCCCCCGTGGAACCAGGAACTCTCGCTGAACGCCGGCTTCCCCAGACCAAGCTGGGCCTAACTTTTTAGCTTTGAGCTGCTGGGGATTAAAAAAGCAAAAACGAGCCACCCAAACATAAAGCTCCGGTGGTCCTTTTGGTTCTTGGCCGGAGGTGCGGGACTTTCCCTTCACCTTGGTGGAAAAGAACTCAGGCTCGGACGCGAGCTCGAAAGTGCTGTGCTGCACTCGTGGCCTTCTTTTTCTATTGGCAGGTGAGTCTCCCAAAATTCCCAAATGAAGCTGTGCCCAATATCCCCATATTTCGCCAGTTGACTTGGCAGGTGAGTCTCCCAAAATTCCCAAATGAAGCTGTGCTTGCCCAATATCCCCATATTTCGCCAGTTGACTTGGCAGGTGAGTCACACATGCAGAAACTCCCTTCCCAAAATGGCGGGGATTGTCAGAAGCCCTCACCTAGCTGAGCGACCTGGATCCATTGCATATTTTCTTCAGTATGTTTCCATTTCTTTTTGGGTGTTTTTTTTTTGCGACATGCGGGGCTCCTATATTTCCTCTCTTTGGTTGGCTTAAACATCACCTTTTTTGGGGCAGTTCAAAGTGAGTTTCCCTTGGTTGGGGTGATATGCTTTTAAGCGGGAATATAGGGAAGCGGGGTAAAGTGCGCTGGAGATCCGCAGGTGTGTGTGCGAGGACCAAGGAATCACAACACGACTCATGTGGCCGGTGCAACCGGTTCCGGTTCCAAAAAGTAAGAGTCAGCCTAGTAGAAGCGTAGAAGGTACAACTGTGTGGTTGGACATGGAAGGGAGCTTCAACGGCGTCGTCTGCCAAAGCTTCACTGTTCTTGGCATGTTTTTTAGTTTTTTAGTTTTTTGGTTCTGTTCATATTTACTGGGGGTCTGCAAAAAACAAAGTTTTTTGCTACCACCAAGAGTAGAGATGAAAGGCCTTCATTCCAAATCCATTTTCAGGTGTCGGATCCACCGGCCGTCAGAAAAGCCCCAGCCGTGATAGAACGCCTCCAAGACCTGACCAACAAGGTCCCATGTCCCATTTGGAGAGGAATGCTGCGAACAATTTGCTTTGTGGTGAATGAGGCATTCTTTGCTCTTGTCCCATCCAAAGCATCTTGGGAATATCTCGACACCTCAGATGCACACTGATTAACCCATTCATTTGTCTATGACGCGCAGCTGGGCGTACAGCGAGCGAAGGGCCGAAGGGCATGCTGCAGGCCCCAGACTTGGGCATCACGCAACTTTGGTTTTGGCATTGTACATTCCGCAGACGAATGGTTTCTGCTTTCCTTGGCTAAACGGCGGCTAAATGGATAGCAACAAAAACAGCTTGTTTCCTGGGCCACGAATGATTTCCGCTTTCCTTGGCTAAATGGCAGCTAAGTGGATAGCTGTATGTTGCTGTTTGCTTCCTGGGCGCTAAATGGATAGCAAAAGAACTGTTTGTTTTCAGGCCCAGCCATGGTGTAGCCACTGTAGTCGGTCTGTATTAGCGACACTTGAATTGGTTGGACGCTCCGGATTGTTTCTTCTGGATGATTCCGGAATTAGCGGCCTTTTTTTCAGGACTTCACCCAAAGTCATGACACAAGTTAGCAGGTGGTTTCCACGGTGCGTTTTCTGGAAAGCTGTTCCATGCCACAGTAATTACCCTCAGACGAACATGGAAGCTTTTTGTCCAGGCTACGTTTTCTGGAGATATTCTCCCGGGACCCGTTTGGAAGACTTGGTTCCATTTACAGAGGCCAATTGAACACAACTTCCCTGTTCTGAAAGAGCTTCAATGTTCTGGGTGAGAGTGTTTCAATTTTTTGGTGCACTTTCCGCATGTGCCGCTGTCGTATCACCATGACCTCACCGACCGTCCGCCTTTGCTTTCGTCGGCGCAGGGGAGGCTGCCCGTGGCGCGCAGAGCTTTCTGCAGCGCTTTGCGGCCTGGGGCCGAATCCGAATCGAGGGGCTTCTTTGTTGGTGCGAGAGACGCAGGGAATAAGACTCGGAGCGAACCCTAATGTTGCCCCCAGATAAATCAACCCCAGTTTAGTGTTAGGGGGGTGTCCCTGGGTCCTACAAACCTGGTCTTGGATTAACAAGGTCTTGGATTAATGGTGACCCGACAATATGAATCAGCAGCAGTTATTGTTAGGGGGTGCTTCTCCCTGGGTTTAGTGGGGAATCGTCACTTTGGAGGGGAGCACCCCCCCCTATTACTCAACTGGGGTTGATGAATATGGGGTTAACATTGAAGGCATGGTTTCCTTGGGGAGCATAGATTATTCCCTCATTCCCTCGCAACAGTTGGCCGAATGCTTTGGAGTTTCGGAACACTATGCCAAAAGAAAGTCATAGAATAATGACCGTGTGAGTGATCAAGTTTTTGAGGCGGGGCTCCAGTTCGGGGCGCCAAGGACTCATTGTGACCAGAGGAAGTATTAGAACTTGAGATGGCGAAATTCAATGCACTATGCACCCCTTATTTTGGTTGGTGACTCTTTTTTTCGACACCCTTTTCTCAAGGGACCCTTACTTTCCGTTGATTACGTGAATTAAAACTAGTTCGCCCGAACCCTGGATTTGTGACGGTGAGGTATCATAAGTCCTTTGTTCTTTCTTTCCAAACCCTTGTGGCCTGTTGAAGAATAGTCATGATTGATTCACCTAAGCGCAGATACTGTTACGGTGGCTGAGTCTGAACCAAGACCAAAAGTGTGAATCTGAGGAGTAAAGGTTGGCTCGCTTTCAACTGAGTCCTTCTCACGTTCCCTTCGGGTTAGAAAAACACTCCTTACAGATCAGCTTCACTCTTGTTGGCATGTTTCTTGGTTTATAGGTTTTTTGGTTCTGTTCATGTGTAGTGGGGGGGTGCGCAAAACATTCAGTTTATTGCAAGCCCTTACCAAGGGTGCAAAGTCAAGTACTTGAAGTTTTTTTGAACGATGAAGGGGCCGGGTCTGGTTGTTTGCCCTTTTAAGGATCATAGACATGGACAGGGAGGTTCTCTTATCGATTTGTCTTTCATCCATATGGCGGGTCTTTCATCCATGCCCTCGTTGCTATGACGAGCACGTGATCCATGGATACCCCGAGGCTCGATGGAAATTCTCAGAGTTTCGTGATCCGAATCATCTGGCTGGCCATGCGGCGCCCGTCATTCTTTTCGGGGACTTTTTGTGGCATCCGTCCGTTCATACCCCGAGTGAAGGGCTTATGGCGTGTCCTTGGTGGAGGGCTCCCATTTTGCTGGGTGAAAAGAGAAGCCAAATTTTGGCTGGTGTTAGACACCCGATCTGTTGGTACCTCAAAGTTGGCCCTCACAAAAGGCAAGACACCATTTTGAGGGTGCAAGTTTTCGAGGTTCACCAGGCTTTTGATCTCTTGGGACGATCCGCGGCGGGATAGGACCAAGGACCAGTGCGGATTTGAACCTCTCGGAGTCGCACATGTTGTCCACTTGTGTGTTGACATTCATTGGTTTTCTCAAGCTCGGAGGGGAGGAGCTTGAGATACGTAGCCTTCCCACAGAATTCACCTGCAACCCGACAAAGAAGCCAGGCTCCCCGAACTTTATGGTGATTTGGCAACGGATCCTTGGACTTTAGCGGTTTTTGTTTGGTTGACACCTTGTGGGATTTTCCGAATTGCGCCCACACAAAGTTTAAAGCAAGTTCTGGGTGAATAATATCGACCTCAGACGACCTCACCCCAGATAGTGGTTTATGTGGGGAATAGCCCCTGAACCAGCTTATTTCAGGCTGGTGAAATATTATAACCCAGACAAGTTGCAGAGGAGTCCTTGCAGCTGGGTGGGGCAAAATATGATTTAAACACCACCTTTACAAGGGAAGAATCATCATAACCAGTGGTTTAAACATATGGGTGGCCCCACCCTACCTTCGAGGCCACGGTCAACTCGGGCACCGTCCAGCGGCTGGCGTCAGCGCCCCAGATGTGGGGGGCGTTGATGGCGAGTGATGCCGTAGCTCCTGAGTTGGACTTGAAACCACGTTTTGGGGAAGACCATTTTGGAGAAAGAATAGCAAGTTTGGGCGTGTTTTTTTTACCAGATCGGAAGTGAGATGCAGAGAGAAAGGAAGCCTCTGGTTATGTCCAGCTTTGCGCCTGCGGATCACTTGTCTTGTGGAGCACCGCACCGATCCACCCCCCCCCCCCCGCCGAACTTCGACGGGTTCTTTAGTAAAGGTTTCAACAGGTCGCAAGTTCTTTCTAGGTCTGGGGTGAGAGAAGCAGGACCCCAAACAATAGCGGCATCGGCACAAGCTTTTTTGGCGCAGGCCTCATCGTGAGCTTAGGACAGCAGTATCATGCTGAGCGGTAAATTGGTGATGAAGTGAGTGAACACAAATGAATGTGTGAACACTGTGTGTGTGTGTGTCTTCAAGGGTACCCCTTGGCCGGGGTTGCGGGAAACTGCCAGGCGGACAAACCATCATGTTGGTCCCCTAGTTCAGGACACACCCGCATGTACCCAAATACGGGGTACAGGTTCGCTCTTTGCTTTCTTTGTTCCGCCCGATTCAAAATGCGGATCAGCAACTGGGTGCTTCTTTTTGGAGGGTGTTCTTCTGGCGTGGTGTTGAAGGGCAACCAAAAGGAAAGCCATCTCCGAAATTCCCCTCAAGAAGTATAACACCCAAATAGTGCTGTCACACGCTCGGTTTCCGCTACGACCGCAGGTTGTGCTTCAACGACACCCGCGACGACGTAAGAATCGTGAACAAGTTCACCTGGCTTAATTTTACGCCGCGGTCATGATGGTCATGCATGCATGATTTCCCTCAGTTGCCCAAAACGAATCGACCTTTTGACCTGCTGGCTTTCCCATACTCGTACCAGATTTTGCCCCAGCCTTTCAACAACCCAAACCTCCACCGTGCCAGTTTGAAGTTTGGCGCTGAATTGGAGCCAACTCGGAACAGATCAACCTGAACCCTCAAAATTCCCTTAAAAATGGGATATCACCAACCATAATTTTGGGGGTCAAACCCATTTTTAAGGGTAGTTTGAGGGTCCAGGAAAACGCCATGGGAAGCTTTGCGGGACGTGGACAGACACGGGAAGGCTCGGCATTGGATTCGCGTTGTTTGCATCGGTCCTGTAGCGCGAACGTTGGAAGGCCTTGTCCCCACAATTCTTTATTTGGATACACCTGAACCCTCAAAAATCAATCTTAAAAATGGGTTTGACCCCCAAAAATATGGTTGGTGATATCCAATTTTTATGGGTGGTTTGAGGGTTTAGGCAAACACATTTGGGTGTGTCTTGTCTTTGTTGGTACACTTTTGGGGGCGGCTTAAGGCCAAACCAAGAGGAAAACTGTTGCGCCGTTTTGGGGGTCCAACCTTAAACAAGAGGAGCCACCCAATTGCGTTGGATGTGTTGCGAGATCTGGTTGACATCAGTTTTCGCCAGGTTGCTTCAGTCGGTGAATTTCCAGCTGGTGACGCAGGTGGTCTTTGACACGGTGCCCAGGAGGGGCTTTGTAACTGGCTGCCTGAATCTTACCTCAACTTGCTGGTGCTCAGGGAAACCCAGGCAATGATTTAGGGATTATTTCTTAAAGGCAACCGGGGCTGGGGATTCTTTGTAGGGGTGATTTTGTCTCATTCCCTGCTGAGAACCAGCAATGGGCCCGATGGGTCCCAAGGCTTGCAACTTTGACGAATCAAACGTCTCCAATGGGCCCTTTGTGATGCAAATGACACACCATATCCATCTTCTTGAAGTTACTTTCTTATGGCTCAATCTCCCAGACCAACCTCCAAGAACCATCCGCAGCCAAATGCAAATGAGCAGGGGTCAACTTTACCACACAACAACGAGCAAACGAGAAGTTTCCAGGCTGATCACACCATGAGGTAAACGCAACATGTGATTTGAACAATCTTTTTGGCGGTTATTTTGAGCGTAACGCTTGGCGCACTGGACTTGCCAGAAGTTGTCCCTTGCATGCACGGGCTTCTGAGGTACGAGAAGTGTGCCAGTAAACCTGCAGAAATTGCAATATGGCCATGGATCAAAATCCCGAATCGCCAGTGAACATCCCAATCCCCACTAAAATAGACTAAAATGGGTGGTGCACCTAGCCCAAAATGGTACCATTGTGTTTTGACCCACAGCCATATGGGCCTGAATAGCCTCATTGCCCCAGCAGACGCTACAGATGTGGAGAGGACCGTTTTAGCGGCAAACAAAATGGTCAGACTCATAAAGTGAGAAATCAGATAGATTGGGGTTTTGGGGGTACTCAACAACCGGCCATCTTCATCATTATGGACAGAAAATATTATTGCTTACATCAAACTTGCTGCTTTGTGAAGGGGGCAGCCCCCTCATGTTCTGCCAACATTTGCCAAGTGACATGACATGTAAAATGGAATGCTAACATCGGGACCCCCTCCTGGCGATGGCTTGTTCTTCGTTTCTTTTTCTCTTGGAAAACCGGAGGTGAGATCCTCGAAGATGATCAACTCCCATTTGGGTACAGCTGGTCAGATTCCTGATTTGTAAGGGATCAACTTGCTACCCGTTTCCCAGGGCGGGGCAACAACTTGGATGTTCAACACACTTACTAGGTTCTGGCCATGGTAAAAGTGTACTTCCGGAGTTGAACATCCACGTACGGAGCGGCGAAACAATCACTCACCCCCCTGCAGACCAATATGGACCCCCAAGTTCATGGGAGGTAGTTCAAAATGGAGCCTCCGCCCCCACTATGGACCACCTGCAGTTCGATATACATACATATATATATATGTACATATATATATATATATGGACACCGCGTTTGATAGTTTTCGGCGCCTCCTTTTGGGCCGCTAGATTTACCCCCGCCCTCGCAGGACCTTCGCGCAGAAGGCCTTGGATGGCATCCTGCGGGCCCAGGATCGCGAATCGAGCGCGAATCGGCCGCGGAAATGGGACGCACTTGCAGTTGGCCCATCTAAATGTTGACAGATCTAAGTACCTGGACCCTCAAACTACCCAGAAAAACGGGAGATCACGCACCATAATTTTGGGGGTCAAGCCCATTTTTCAGTTGGATTTTTGAGGGTTCAGGCACCCATCCCACGAGTTTAGCACGAGGGCCCAAAAAGTTCGAACCCCCACTCAGACGACGACCCTTCCAACTCACCTGGCACCTGCGGGTTGATTTCCTTTTGAAGGGACCCGCTGTCAGTTGCCATGTTAGTGGGAGGGAGGGTAAGCAACCAGGGGTAGATGAATCCGACCAAATTCTGACCTTGGTGGAGCACGGTGGAATTTCCTATAACCCCACCTCCCAACCAACCACCCCCCAACCAACTACCCCCACCCCCCAACCAACCCCCCCCCCCCCCGAGTGCTGAGCGATAGATGGCCTGAAGGTCTAGATTTTCCAGCAGACAGGATTCTCATGATGGTTTCAGCGATCTCTGGCACCTCAAATGGCTGGGTGGCGAGCTCTACACATGATGAGCAGGGCGAGCCGGCGGCCTTCCTGCAGAGCTTGAAGTCCAAGCAGTGGACAGGGATCGTGCTCAACATGGAGGTTGTGCCATACAAGATTGGCCCACGGTGCCTGGTGCTTCAGCAGAAACCAACAGGAAGACTAGCCATTTAGGGGGGGGACACCTAATTGTCAAAACACTTTGAAGATGTGTGAAGTCTACTTTTGGGGCCATTTGGGGGGGGGGCGGGGGACACCTAATTGTCAAAACACTTTGAAGATGTGTGAAGTCTACTTTTGGGGCCATTTGGGGGGGGGGCGGGGGACACCTAGTTGTCAAAGCACTTTGAAGATGAAGTCTGCTCTTGGGGGACTTCTCTTTTGGGTTCTATCTCGATACGCGGAGGAAGCAGAGCCAATGGTTCAGTTTCAGACAACCTCAAATTCCCGAACGCCTCAGATGTCCGGAAAGGGGGGCCCAGGTTTCGAACCCCGATCCACCATGTTGGCCTGCGATTTTCCTGGGGATTAGTGGGCCTGAGCCCTCAAACCTCCAACTTAAAAATGGGTTTGACCCCCAAAATTATGGTGCGTGATATCCAATTCTTATGGGTAGTTTGAGGGTCCAGGGAGCCTGAATCTTTTTCTTTGCTGAGGGTGGACAAAAAACATCAAGGGGCCGCCGCCGCTAGTGGGGCTTGACCACGTATTCGGGAGTAGGGTGCTGCTTTTTTTTTCCCCAGATCTCAGAGAGCCGAAAGCTGTAGGGGCTTCTGACTTCAGGACCGAACATATGGCTAGGAATTTTAATGGGGAACCCCCTCCCAAATAGTTGGTGGACATGAATCCCGACCTAAATAACGTCCACCAGACACCCCTTTCATCAAGATTTACACCCATATGGGACTTGCAGGGTGCGTTTTGGGGGGTGCTGTTAGTGGGGTGAATGCAGGAGGCTGAGGCAGGGACTGGGACTTGCAGGCTGCTTAGCTCGCTTGAGCGACCTGATTTCGCAGTCAAGCGCAATTCTTGCTATTTGGCAGGCGTCTATGCTTATATATGTTGTTACCCTCCTACACCCAGCTCTAGCTATGATGCATGGACGTTTTCTCTGTAACTTGAGGGGCTAAACAATTGGACGAACAGGGACAAGTCACATCAATTCATGACTACAAGATAGTGTTGTGTACCTGGACCCTCAAACTACCCATAAAAATGGGATATCACCCCATAATTTTGGGGGTCAACCCAATTTTAAGGGAATTTTGAGGGTTCAGGAAATTCTTCAGCCCCGTGTGGTAAATATTTAGCTAGAGCACCGACGTCACATGAGCCCGTAAAAGCCCAAACCTCCCGGAGGTGCAAAGAAGCATCAGATTTGGGTAACGAAAAGAAACCCAAAGAACACCGTGTGCCCATGCCCTTTGGGACAAACCTGGGTTTGTCACCCAACACTACATGGGTTTTCCATTTCAGGCATCCTTAAGTTTGATGCCACACTATTTAGCCCCTTTTCCCAATCCCACTAATTACAGGAACTATCTTCGGGAAACCCTAGGAGCAACGGTCAAGTTAGTATTCACCTGGGTTATAAACCGTTATGACCCAGGTTACCAACAACTTACTTGGCCAAAGACCCAAGTAGAGATAAACGGTTGCTCCTTTGACACCGTACTAAAGATGGCCCATAAAGGACAATCAAAAAGGTTATTTTTTGAAGGTCGGTTTTGAACAACTGAATTTTCCGACCACAACTAAATTTTGCTGACCTTAGGGACATCCTAGGATTTGTTTTTCGGGATTTGCTGAATTTCCATTAAAACCAACTGCAAAGTCAAGAAGGGCCCGTCTGTTTGCGTCTCCTTGGAAGACAAGTACCTTAGTGCGGTTGTGAGCCCCTCCTTATATCGTATCCTGTTCTTTACCCAACAACCTAAAAGGGGTATGCATCAAAGTACTAGAAGTGGGTTAATATGTAGGTTACCAACAACTTATTTTGCGGGCCACTCAAGTGGCAGTCCCAGAAACCCAAGTTGAAAACCCTAGGAGCCCGGTCAAGTCAGTAAGTGGATAGCCTGGGTTAAAACCCGCTGGCTGGGTTCACCCCACAACTGGGATATAACCGGATGGTGACCAACAACTTACTAACTGGACGAATCGAACACCCAAGTAGTAAAACCTAGGAGTACCCCAGGAGCAACCTAGGCGTATCCCAGGAGTAACCTAGGAGTAACCTAGGAGTAACCTAGTAACCCAGGAGTAACCTAGGAGTACCCTAGGAGTACTCTAGGAGTAACCTAGGAGCATTCTAGGAGTACCCCAGGAGCACTCGGAAAAAGTCCCCATCTCTTTGGTGCGGCGTGCATTTTTCGAGGGCCTGGCCAAAGACGTGGCGAACACCGCGGTGCTGGGCGCCGAGTGTGGGGGCGACCTCCGCCAGGCGGGGTCGAGCGCATGTCGGGTCGGTCTGTGGCGGGTCCTAGCCATGCCTTCACTGTTCTTGGATCATGTTTTTTTTTTTTTTTTTTAGTTTTTTGGTGCTGTTCATTTTTACCGGGGGTCTGAAAAAAACACAGTTTTTCGCCACCATGCCAAGAGTACAGATGATGCGAGTCCTGAGCTCTTTGGCTTCTTAGTGGATGTTGGTGAAATGTAGTTGGGCTTCCTGGTGCCACCTTTGATTTGGTGGCTCCCAGCCATCCGGTTCCTTAGCTGTTTAGCCTTTTGGTGTTTAGCGGTAGTGGTCAAATGTAACCCACTAAAAGTTAAACTTCTAGCGGGGGTTCCTTGTTTCACGCAGCGACAGTAGCGGGCACTGCCCCCAGACAGGAAGAGAGAGAGAGAGAGAGAGAGAAATGTAGTTGCGTTTCCGAATTCAACCCACAACTTTTTCACTAGCAGGGGATTAGTTTGGAGAGTTTCCGGGTTCCCTTCTGTTTCCTGCACAATGTGTGTTTTCGAAAGTACATCTTGACACAACGAAAAACCTTCGACAAGATGTACGTCTACGTGTATTCTGCTAAAACAAAAACCATGACAAAGGTACAAGCAGAAGTACACTTCTGAGTTTTTGTTGGTACCATTTTGAGATATGGGTTTCCGGTAAAAGCAGCCCTAGGAACTCAAAGAGTTCTCCTCAAGCTCTCCGGTACTTCGCCGAAGACCAAAGCTGAAACCTGCTTCCAATCGTGCTGGCCTCTCTAAAGTGTGGTCAAGAGAGGTTCCTGCCGGTGTTCAGCAAGGATTTCTGAAATCCATGGGAGGGGTACTCAACAAGTGGGTCGTTGAGAGCCCTAGGCGTCCTAACCTAGGCTTCCTTGGGAAGCCTTAAGGAATCCATTTTTGAACAGGCCCCAGAAATGATGGCATCCCAATACACCCTTTCTTGGAAGGGGTTCCGTTCCGCTTTATTTCGAAGACCAAGAAATCCTCACTGACAAAGAAAGAAGGTAGGAGGCCCCACACGAATGCTGTCTTTTCCTGTTAGAATACCAATCCAAGATGGAAACGGGTATCCTTAAAAGACATGGGTGTGTCTTGTTTGTTCTTTTGGAAGGGTGCCCTTTGTCAGATGTGTTTCAAAGGGAAACAGAAGGAACCACAACCATCTTTGGGGTCCCCTATTGTGAGATAGACGCATTTCGCAGCTTAAACGGTACCTCATTCGTGTTGTTTGGCTATGTCTGAAACAGGTCTCATAGTACGTTTCTACCTATTGCAAATTCAGAGAGCGCTTATAGGAGATATGTGGAGACTATTGGGTTCCTATGCCGTTTGCGACTTGGGAGGAAGACCCCCCAACAGTTGGCTTTGGGAAGGTGCCCGGCGTTTTCTGGGAAGGCTAGTGGGCCCTGTTTTTGGGAGGCACCATTGCCCAATGTCAGCTATCATTCGGCTTTTGTTGCAGGGAAGGTGCCCCTCGATCTGGAAGGCTAGTGGGCCCTGTTTTTGGGAGGCATTGCCCAATTTCAGCCTCATTCGGCCTTTGGGACTGCAGGTCTGAGTCTAATTTCACTTTCCATCCGGAACCTGAAGCACTAACAGGTCACCTGGAATCATAGGTGTCCTTTTTGGTGGGTTTGCTTAGACTCACTTCCTGAGTTGATGGACTTTAAACTTTTTGGAAAGACCATTTTAGTGGTAAATAAAAAGTTCAGACTTTTTTTGGCCAGTCAACTTGGGAAGTGAGTAGAAAATAGAGGACCCTGGTTTAGATGGGGGTTTCTTCCAAATTTCCGGGGCCATCTCTTTTTCCAACAGGCCCCTATGCCTGGAATGACCTAGATTTCTGTGCATGTGGACGTGATCCAGACACGCATCTTAGAAGCTTGAAGCCGACCAGTCTCATGCATAACATTCCACCGGATGTTATGAGACCGATTTTCCATTCACCAGGGTTTCCATGTTGGAGAGTACAAGTTTTAGGCCGCCGGCGGCTTCTATGCTCACTTCGGCTGTGAATCAATCCTTGGCACTGCCTGGGCGCAAATGGGCGCCTGTTGCCGGCCCTTTGTGCCCTCCATTTTCAGCCTGTAGCATCACCTTTTGCTTGCCACGTGTAGATGAGTTTCCTCTTGGCGTGATGTTTGAGGGGAAATATCTGGGTTGGCGATTTCCGGGTTTCTCCCAGTAGCGCCGCTTCACCAATCCACATAGGGTTCATAGGGAGTACAAGGCGTGTGGGTGCTTCTTTCAGGTTCCCTCTATCACTTCCAGTTCTTCAAGAACGTTCGTTACACAAGATGACCCACCCCCGAATTGAAAACAATGCCCAGTGGTCCTACCTACAGTTCTTTTACCAGAGCACTCCTTTTCATGTTCCCTGTTGGTTTTGCAGGGAATCCATCACTACTGAAAATACTGCGGGTGGACCAAATCCATTTCGCACCACCTAAAAATCCCTCAACAAACGTTGTGGTTTCCCAAGTGGTGCGAAATGGATGTTGTCCACCCACAGTATGTGCCCTTTTGAAAAAGCATCATATGCCACTGGCAAATGGAATAACGGTTTATCAACGAGTTGTTGCTCTCTCTCGCCTGGGAATCCATCACGACTGAAAATATGTTCTCATTTTTCCCCAGAGTGTCCCGTGTCCTTCGCCAGATCTCAGAATTTTCCCCATCTCCGGCGCTAAGAGAATCGGTATTGAAGTCCACCTCACGCAACGCGGACTCCCGGTTCCTTAGCTGTTTTTTGTGTTTCCTGGTTTGATTTAGCGGGTAGTTTCCTGGTTTTGTGTTTCCTGGTGAATTTCGCTTTTTGACTTGTTTGATTTGCATTCAACCCCCAAGTTATGTATTTTGGCGGGGGATCTGAGAACGGACAGCCCAGTTTAGCAAATGAAAGATGGGGGGAGGGCGGAGCTCGCATCAGGCCATCAATGCTTTGCAGCTCCTGGCCGCGGGACGAGGCGATCGATAGTTGCCACTCAAGGAGCCGCTTGTTGCTTTTTTTGGGGCTGGTTTTACTTTCATTTGCTTAAGAATATTGTTTTTCTGTTGTTGGTTTTACAGGGAATCTATCACTACGTGAAATATTTTTATTTTTCCAGGGGTCTTAACCAAATGGAAGTTTAAGGAACTACTTTCAGGGGCAGGGTACTTAGTGGTTAGTAAGCCTGGTTCTAACTCACTTATTAATTTCCCCATGTGCCTGTGGCTCCAATACATGTACCAAAATGGCACCTTGGTGAATGTATCCCAAGACTAAAACCTGAATTTTCGGCCACACCCACATGGGGTTTTGTCTTTTTTTGGATCCATGACTCCACAATGCTTCCTGTCTTTTATTTCCGGGTCCCGGCGTGCGAGAACAATTGCGCGGTTGTCTTGGCTGAACGGCCAACCGGAAAACCGGCACCCGGTATCCTGGTCATGGTGCAACGTTGCGGAAGGAAGGGGGGGGAAAAGACATGAACAAGGTTGAAATGTGCTTGGGCTGGTGGTGTGGGATTGGAGCCCCTTCTTGTAGAGGGTAAATGGGAAACCCCTTCTTAACACCAATCCAAACCACCAATTGACGGGAGGTACGAACGACACCAAGGTCCAACGACAAGGGGAGAGCGGCCTAAAGCCTGCGACTACCGCAAAGACCCCGCATGTTGGAGCCTTCATGTTGCCTCTCGGTTGAAAAAGCACACCTCTTTGAGCTTTTTTTTATTGCTTCAACTGCAAAATCTCCCCCGAACTGCCCAAGCATGGGGCTGAAACTCATTTTGTTTTGAAGAAACATGGAGATTGCCTTTCGAACCCACTTAGTTGGACCCTTAGGAAGAGAAAAGGCATCCGCGTTGGCCAGCGACCAGCTGAACTTGTTACACAGAGGACCCACACAGAAACTCGACAAGAAAATCCCGAGGCCTGAGGCAATATTTGCCCAGCCAGCATCGGTAGCTATTCTCAGGGAGTGAAGACAAGGGCGGCAGGGCCCCCACCGAAGTTGCTGCAGGCAAAAAAAGAGGAGACATCGAGGAAATTCGTCTGCAAACCCGAAAGTGAGATGCATCCTGCTGCATGGGTAGAATCATGCCACATGAGGCCAAGCAAGGCTTCAAGCGTGTTATGGCTCAGTGTCGGGCCTCGTGCCAGTGGGCTGGAAGCTTGGCTGCGTTGCGCGCGAATGATGGACACACGTGCGTCGCAGCTCGTAGTGCAATTCGCGCAAGCGCCCAATACTCTTGCCCAGCAGATGCCCCCCCCCCCGTGGAAGCGTCGACCATGTATAATGAGGCGCGCGCGCGTGGCTCACATGACCCGCGTGGGGGATTTCCACCCCACCCCCATAATGCGCGCGCACCAACACAAAATGAAAAGCCTTTTGTTTTGCTAATTATTTAAGCCATTCCACATACTCCCACAGGGGCGGGAGGTTGTTGGGGAATTCCAATCCGTTTCTTCCAAGTCCCTAATTGACCCTACTTCTTCTCATTATTCCCGAATGGACGGGCGCGCTTTGGGGATTTTCAGACGCAATTTCCAACTTGCTGCAGCTATTCTAAATGTTTCTGTTTCAGCAAGGGACTGGTTCTAAGTATGTTTTACTTTTATAACTGTTCTAGTTATTTTAAAGTGGCCGGGCGCCTTGTGGGGAAGTCCAGATTCATTTTGTGCTAATCATTATACTTCTCATGATTACACTAGATACCTGATGTATTCCCAAAGGGACGGGAGACTTTTGAGGGAAATCCAGACTCATTGTTCTTCCAATTGCAATCATTGTTCTAACTGGTCTAATAATTCGATTTATTCAAAATGAGTTGGGTGTGTTTTTGGAATTTCCAGGCTATGATCTTTTTATTTTTGACTTTCCTAACTATTCGCAAAGGGGCGCGTGCCTTTTGGGAAAGTCCCAATTCATTTTGCTAGTTGATCTACTTATCTAGGCATTCTAATTAAGCGCAACAATTAGAACACAATTCCCGATTGGAGCGGTTCTATAATTAATTAGAATAAGTAGAATAAGACGAAGACACGCAGCCCTATGTGTTGTTCACGTTTATCTAAATTTGAATGAATTGACAAACCGCTTTGTGTTTCCCAATATTCCGTTCATTTCACTTATTGTTCCCGCAGGGGCGGGTGCCTTTCAGGGAAATACGAAATGATCGTGTGAAATTATTCGAGTTATGAAACTCATTCTAACAACTAGACCACGGTTGGCCCAAAAGCATAACATCGCAAGCGAGGTCGGCCCAACGCTGCAGGATGCGTTCTTTTTCCCTCCACGAAGCATTTGTGAAGCAAGCACGAGACAGCACCAGGCAAGGTGCTCTGCGCAAACTGGTCGGTGCAAGTTGGTCTGCGCAAGTTGCTCTACGCAAGTTGCACTGTGCAAGTTGCTCTGCGCAAGTTGCTCCGCGCAAGTTGCTCCGGCAAGTTGGCCCCTGCAAGTGGCTCCCTGCAAGTTGCTCTGTGCAAATTGCGCTCCCTGCAAGTTGCTCTGTGCAAGCTGCTCTGTGCAAGTTGCTCTGTGCAAGTTGCTCTGCGTAAGTTGCTCTGCGCAAGTTGCTCTAGGCAAGGCGCTTTGCGCAAACTGGTCGGTGCAAGTTGGTCTGCGCAAGTTGCTTTAAAATGCAAGTTGCATCTTGCGACGCCCGCCCGCGGACCAGGGAGGAATCGAACCCGCGACCCGCCGGTTCCGCGCGAACCACGAGACAACTCCCGAGGACCAGTTCGAACAACAAAAGACGCAAAAAGCCTGCACCTCGACCACGCCGATCCCCGCAGAGGGTCGCGCGAGCATGTTAAAAATCGCAAAAAACCGTGAGTTTTTGCACTTCGACCACGCCGATCCCCGCAGAGGGTCGCGCGGGCATGTTAAAAATCGCAAAAAACCGTGGGGTTTTTGCACCTCGACCGCGCCGATCCCCGCAGAGGGTCGCGCGAGCATGTTAAACATTGCAAAAAAAAACAGTGGGTTTTTGCACCTCGACCACGCGCAGAGGGTCGCGCGAGCACCGCAGAAATCGCAAAAAAAACATGGGTTTTTGCACCTCGACCACGCCGATCCCCGCAGAGGGTCGATTTTCGTGTAGTGTCGTCGGCACTACCCCGCCGCCCTAAGAAGAGATTTTAACTCCTCGCAAGTCAATTGCACTTGGCTCCTTGCACTTGCAGCTTGCACTTGACTCCTTGCACCTGCAGCTTGCACTTGACTCCATGCACTTGCAACTTGCACTTGACCCCTTGCACTTGCAACTTGCACTTGGCTCCTTGCACTTGCAACTTGCACTTGACTCCTTGCAATGACTCCTTGCAATGACTCCAATTGCAATGACTCCAATTGCAATGACTCCTTGCAATGACTCCTTGCAATGACGCAATGACTCTTTGCAATGACTCCTTGCAATGACTCCTTGCAATGACTCCTTGCAATGACTCCTTGCAATGACTCCTAGCAATGACTCCTTGCAAGGACTCCTAGCAATCACTCAGCAATGACTCCTTGCAATAACTCCTTGCAATGACTCCTTGCAATGGCTCCTTGCAATGACTCCTTGCAATGACTCCTTGCAACGACTCCTTGCAATGACTCCTTGCAATGACTCCTTGCAATGACTCCTTGCAATGACTCCTTGCATTGACTTTCATGATGACGATTCCTTGCAATGACACCTTGTAATGACTCTCATGAGAACAACTCAAGTGAACCCAGCGGAAGAACCCTTCGCCATGCTTTCGGGAAAGCAAAATCATTAAGCAACATAGACCAAATAACTTTTTCTAGCATTCGAGTTATTGTACTTGTTCCCACAGAAATGCGTGCCTTCTCAGGAGGTCCGCATCATTCCGCATCATGTTGTTTCCGAATTATTCAAGTTATTTTAAATATATTTGTATATATTTATATGAATATATTCCCCAAGGGGGGGATGACGTTGAAGAATTCCAGATTCATGTTTCAAATTATTCTAAGCACGTATTCCCAAAATGCCAGGTGCCTGTTGGAGGAATTCCCGATTCATTAATTCCAAATCACCTACTTGTTCTAATTGATTCGAATAACTAAGTTAATTGGAGAAGAAACAGGGCTATGTTTCGCTAATTGTTCCAAATATCACACTTGTTCTGAGTATGACCAGCGGGACAAGCCCCTTTTGGGAATTCCGGTTTAATGTTTGCTCCAGTTATCCTGCTTAATTTCATTATTCTAAGTATGCCCAAAGGGACGGGTGATTCCAGATTCATGTTTGTTCCAATTGTTCTAACTCTCTAAGTCTTCTGATTATTCCCACAAGGGCGGGTGCCTTTTCAGGAATTCAAGATTCATGTTGCTAATCATTCTAATTCTCACAATTATTCTAACTCTTCTAATTGTGATTGCCAAAGGGCCAGGTGCCTTTTGGAGAATTCCAGACTCATTATTGTTCTAATTTGTGTTTGTTCTCATCATTTTTCACCCGAGGGATCATAACTATTCTAATTTCCCTTCATATTCCGACAGGGGCGGGTGCCTTTTAGGGAATTTCAGGTTTCTCTTTGTCCTAATTGCTCTACTTCTTACAATTGTTCTACTGTTCGTAGTTCCTTTTGGGAAATTCAAGATTTGTGTTGATAATTTGTTTACTTATCATAACTGTTCTCGTTATTCAAAATAATCTCGAGCGAAGGGGGCGGGGGACCCCTCTGGAGAATTCCAGACTCGCTTTTGCCCTAGGTATAATACTTTCATTAAAAGGGATTGGGCCTTTTGGTATTTCAACATTTTCCCACACTGTTCTAGCCATTCGATTTCCAGATGAACAGCTTCCTTTTGGTGAGTGGGGCGGGTGGCTGTTGGGGAATTCCAAATCCATTTCTTCTAAGTCCCTAATTCTTCTAATCTGTAACTCTTCCAATTATTCCCGAATGGACGGGCGCGCTTTGAGTATTTTCAGATTCAATTTCACCAGGGGGCGGGAGCCCTTGGGCGAATTCCAGCTCCATGCTTGACCTGATTATTTTACTTCTTACAACTATTATAATTTTGTGATTTTCTTTTGAAAAAAGGGGTCCCTGTTGGGGAATTCAATATTCATGGTTGTTCCAACTATTCTAAGCATTCTCACAATTCTAACTATTCTAGTCTTTTTAAAGTAGCCGGGCGCCTTGGTTTTTTGGAGTGGTTCTAATTAATTAGAATAAGTAGAATAAGACGAAGGCGCGCAGCCCTATGTGTTGTTCAAGTTTGATTGAAATTGAATAATTTGAAAAACCGCCTTGTGTTTCCTATATTCCATTGCACTTATTGTTCCCACAGGAGGGGTGCTGTTTGGCGAAGTACGCATTAGTAGTGTCTAACTATTCGAGTTACGAAACTCATTCCAACAAAACAGAATCATTAAACAACATAGACCAAATAACGCCCTTTGTTTTTTAGCCATTCGAGCTACTCGAATTGTTCTTACAGGGACGCGTGCCTTCTCAGGAGGCCCACATCATGTTATTTCCGAGTTCCAGAATTGTTTTAAGTTGTTCTAATTTTTTCCCCAAGGGAGGGATGCCGTTTGGAGCAACATATTGAAATTGTTCAAAATATTAAATCGGCCCCAGCTCCAGAAATCCCGGGGATTTAAAATGTTTAAGCAGCATTGGGCTGGAAGTTGTGCTAAATATGCAGGAAAGGGTCCCGCGACACATTATACATACTCTACCCTCTTGCATCCCCCCCCCCCCCCCCCGGCAGGAGCCCGTCAATTTGAGCCACCGCGCGCCGTGCATCCATCTATACCTAGATAATCCTGCACCCGGTGTTCGTGAGTGAAAGTGCCCTTATGCAGCGGCACAACGCCCAGGCCGCTGGATTTCTGACTGCAAGTGGCGTAATTCTTCTGGGTTGATGGAGAAGGCCTAAGTAAGCCAAGCCAGCTTTGCGGGTCAATGCCGCATGGCTCTTGTTCACGAGGACGCGCACGTAACAAGTAGGGGGGTTGAGTTCCGTGCTGAGGCTCACGCAGTATTGCAAAGGCTTAGCTTGGCAACCCGACCATGATGATAGCGCCACCCTCTGAGAAATAGTGCCTTCAATAGATGAAAAACCGTTGCTCACAATCGCGTGCGCGCGTGTGATAACGGCCGCGCCCAAAAGCCCTCCGGCTACTAAAATGATCTAATGTTGCCACGAGCTAGCCCTTTCCAGGCAACTCCGGAGATCCTTTTCCACTGTGCAGCCCTTTTGGTTGGTCTTCCGTTCACCCGCAAATTTAGGGTCGAAACAGTTTCTGCTCTTGAACTCATGCAGCCCAAAAGTGCAAAAGAAAGTAGCCAAGGTCCTCTAGTATTGGAGCCATCAACTCAGGTCTTGCTTGCAGCCCCCTTTAGGGTGGGAATGATGGAAGCATATCGCTGGACAGTAACACAACAGGTTTGTCGGTACTTGGCAAGACTCGTTTTGCAAGAAAAGCTGCAATCTCAAAGGCTTAGCTTCTGAGAGTGCTGATGTATGCTCGGAGCACACCAAGTTCTTTGTTTCTTTACAACGCAGATGCATGTTTTCCACACATCAGCCTTCCTTCCCCACCAATTTGACCGCCTTCGTCCAGGGACCCGAGTGCTCACCGCAAGCGCGAGCGCAAGCTCCAACGGCAGCCGGCGAGGCGCCGCAGGTGCCGGGGAATCTGTTGGAGAGGTTCGCAGTTTTTTGCCAGGGCGAGAATGCAAGTATGGGTTACAGTTGTTCCATCAACAGACCCCAGGTTTTTGTCATTTTCCTTTCACCAGTGTTCCATCCTATCCATCCTTTGAGCCGACTTTTTTGACCCACCGCATGCCCAATTTCGTGACTCCAAGGAAGCGGCGCCCTGAAGTAGTCGTTGGCCGGTCCTCTAACACGTCGGTCCATTCCCAGACATGTTGTCCGTTTTTTGAAACGGTTGGTCGCAGGGGGGACTTGCATCGGCAGAACGATATGCAAGTGGGCATCAAAAAAGTAGGGATTGCCACATCCACTCTGGACTCATGTGGTCAAATGTGGTGCTCTGCAACAACTCAAGCGCTGTGAAACTTGTAGAAGTGCTTCGTTTCTGGGCCCTGTGACGCCCCCTGCCGAATTGGACAGATTACCTACGTCTTAAACAATGAGAACGCCCTGGGTTTTCATGGGGTTTCCCATCCAGGCAGTTTCTTGGCCGGAAATGCCCGCAACAATTATCCCAAAGGGATGGAGTAATGCCATGTATCTCACCTGTTTTTCCACTTGTGCTCGCCACAAAGGGGTGTTTGCTTGTCGAAAAGCCCATGTGCGGCCTTCTTGCAGTAGTTTGCAATTCAATATCTGAGGACCTGGTGACGATCGGTACTAGATTCAGATTCACATTTGCACTCAACAGGCTTACCTGGTGTATTGTTGGTGTCTGGGGAATATCAAGTCCCTCACCCGCGTACAACCAAGAAGAACACTAACGCTCAGCATTTACCTTTTTCAAGTCGTGTTCCATCATAGGTTGCAGCACCATGCAGTACTGGAATCAACGGCAGCTGAATGTGGGTGTGAATTTTAACAAGGGACACTGTGGTGGACACCATTTAGGTTGGGATTTATGTTCACCGTCCTCACTTTGGATGTGGTTCCTCATTAAAATTAATGGCCATGTAGCCCACATCATAAAGCTCGACTATGGAAGGCGACCCAGTGTCTACACAGTCCTCGCCTGACTAAAGCCGACGTTTTTTTTCTGTTTCCATCTCTGATCTCTGGTTACAAAGGTTTTGGATTACGGGCTCCTAGATGTCATGTGTACATCCCCCCCGGCCCCTCCCCCCACCAAAGCTACGCCTGGCGATGGAGTTTAGGCAAAGAAAGGCCACCCTTGTCGATGACCCTGGTACCTTCATTTTGGGGCCCCAGTTCAGAAAATGCGGTGTTAGCTTCTTGTGGCCGAAAAGCAACACGTCAGGTGGCTATGAATGGGTGTTTCAATGCCGATCCTTTTTTCCCGTCCAGACTGCTCAAACTGTTGGGGTTCCAAATTTGCGAGTGCTTTGAGACCCCTGAAGCAACTCGGGGACAGGGACGCTGGGTTCATTCCCAGCGCTGATCAGACCCTTCTATGATCTTTCCTTTGGCGTCCCCTTCGATTGGCCAACCGTCGCAAGGGCGACCAACAAAACGCAGCGGATCTTGAAAGTGTGAATGACCGCGTGGACGGATGCGAAACCCAAAGAACTTTAAGCGCCCTGATTGAGGTCCCTGCCAACGGGTTCCTGCTCCTTTTTGAGGATACTCCTTTTTGGTGGCTAACCAAAAGACGCCAAAATTGGGGGGGGAGGAGGCTAACAAAAGACACACCCATTGCTAAGGGGCGGCCTTTCAGGGGATGCATACGCATGGCGCCAGGTCGGGGCAAGGTGTTAGAAGCCAAGGCGCGCAAGAATTGTCCAAAGCAAGCGCTTGGGTTGCCGGGTTGCCACTTTCATTCCCAAGCCATGGTTGTAGAAACTCGATGTTTTGGGTTTTCTTCTGTAGATGGACGGGATCAACCGGTTTGGTATCACGCGCCTGTCATCTCAATTCAGATTCAATCAGATATGTTTGGGCCGGGCGTCGCACGAGGGTGGTAATCTGCCACAAAAAGCACCGAAAGAGTGGTTTTCCCCATCTAGTTTTCTAGAACTGCGTCCATTGTTTGCGGGACCAACTTCAAGATCAACGGGGTTCCACCGTTAAACATCAGAGAATTGACTCGGCCTTTTAAGTGGCCGGCTCAACGATTCGGGTGTAACGAGTGACGCCCCCCGTCTTATTAAGAAGGTTTGCACTTGGAGATCCAATTCTTGTTCATGGCCTCCGGCCTGGTTCTGCCGCCCCCATTGGGAGGTCAGACACAGACACACATCCACACATACACATACATGCACAGACAGATACATGTGCACACACATACGCAAACACAGGCGCACACACAGACACACACACACACGCACACATGCACCGACACATACAGATACAGAAACAAATGCACTGGGCACCTGTCAGGGGCTCCAAGGTTCGTGTTTGCTTTGAGTACTCACATGATTCTAGCTAACCAAACTCTCAACTTGTTCCCAAAAAGAATTCGGCGTATCGATGTTGGTCTGACTGTGCTGTTTCACAAAGGGGGTGCCAAATTCGGAGTGATTCCCGGTTTCCACCATGTTTTATTCCAATTACTCTATAAATTATTCTAAAGGGACCGGTGCCTTTGCGCAAATTCAAGATTATGTTGTTGATATTCCTTGTTGCCTTTTAAATCTGCTTAAACTGTTGTAACTCAGGTAAGAAGGTGACTACGTAGAACACTTGCAAGCACCCGCTATTCTTCTACTTCTTCTGGTTACTGGTTACTCCCGGAAGGGGCGGGTGTCTCTTGAGATGTATTTTGTTTGCAATTGGTCGATGTGCTTTTACTTGTCCAATCTTTCTAAAACATCCCCGAAGGAACAAGTGCCTTTGAGGAGTTCCAGAGATAGGCGTGTTGTCGTATTGTTTCTATCTATTCTCATTGTTTCTAACTATTCTCATCATTCTACTTATTCCCAGAGTGATGGCCTTTTGGTGAGTTGCAGGTTCATAGTTGCCTTACAGTGTGCTGTTAGCTTTATTTTCTCTGATCAAGCTGAGCTTTTCCTTAAGGGATAGGTGCCTTTTCGGGACTTCTAGATTCATGTTTGTTCTAAAATGTCCAATGGCTCCACCGCACGAGGCTGGCGCCTGTTCAGGTGTTCCTAGGGAGAAAGCGGTTTTGTCGGTCTTACAATGCTAATTGCTGACCATTTTTTTCTCTAATTAGTTTCATGATACCAATCATAGAATTTAGGAAAACATAATCTGTCATAGCTTTCATTCAGTAGACAAACGTTGTGCACAAGGTCCCCAGTTCCTCTAGTTGTTCTAGTTAATGAAGCGAATCAGAACGTAATGAAAAAGGCAAGTAACAGTCCTGCGCGTCCCCTTGTCTATCAGGGAGTGGGGCCTGCAAATATGTAGGCGTACAAGCACCCTATCAACCCCTTTCTGTTCAGCCATCGTTCTTTTCCAAAACCAGCCACTTCCCCAATTGTTTGGTGGTTTTCTAGAAAGAAGGATCCCTGGAAAGAATGGGGACGCTACCCCTAGAACAATTCTTTCGCAGACCTCGGGTCTCAAACGCCTGGAAGGTCACGGCCGTCCAACTCAAGGCTACTGCTTATGACCTGAGCCGCCGAAAGCCTTATGGACCTGGCTATTTCTGCATTTGTCAAAAGCGCCCTCGTTTTTTTTTGTGGTCAAAGGCACTGGTCTCCCATGCGCGACTATCGGCAGCTTGTTCTTAGACTTGGATTGTGTCTTTCTTGCGAAACCACTTGTCGGTGGGATCTTGGAAGCGCCTTTGCCTCCAAAGAGGGGCCAAGTTGTTGAGGCTTCGTCTGGGTCGCAGAACCTGCTCGCGCCCTGCAAAAGTCCCGCAAAATGCCCAACGAAGAGCCTTCGAAGTCCCTTTTTGAAGTAGTCTTCGAACACTGCATAGTGAAACAGGGAAACATGTAAAGTACGCAAGCCTGTATGTAACCCAAGCGACGCGCAAAAGAAGGAATCAACAATAATGGGCCGAAAGCACCGTGGGAGCTGGGGGACGTATGCGCGGGATACACGTGGGGGACGTCGGGAGCAGAGGGGACGGACGTGCGGGGCGGCAAAAGGGGCTTGAGGGGCGGGATGTGGGTTGAGTGCGGGACGTGGGGGCGGGACTCTTTCTGCGAGATCAAATTTGGAGAGGGAAATTAATCTCCATTGGAAGGGTTGGAGGCTCAGCACGGGCGCTTTACAAGGATTCTTTAATTTGAATGCGCAAACCTGGTTTCAAGCGGGAAGCTGAGGAATCTTGATTCCTTGTCTTTCAATATTTGGAATGTTGGCCCTGGTTTTCTTGCTTGGATGTTAGGCCTTAGGACTTCAACTTTTTGCCTTATAATGGGTTTTCCATTAAGCCACTAAAAGTGAGCCACTTTTAGCAGGGCTTCGCAGATTTCGCAACCGAGTCCTTGACGTTGTTGTCCCGTGTTTGTCAATTGTTAGGGCCCCGAAAAATGAACCGTTTTCTTTTGGGTCCTTTGGGCAAGCGAGTTTCTGCAAGTTCTTTTAAGGGAGCTGCGGGGTTTGCGCCTTCTGACCAGCCAGGTGTCACAGTCGGACGCTCCCCGGGACCTCCACCGGCCTGGCACCCGGCAAAAAAATGCCGGCCACCGGCCGGGACCCGGTAAGTGAAGAAGTGAACGGTTTGTTGCACACGTCCCTGAGTTCATGGACTTTAAACACTTTTTGGGGTTGAACCATTTTTTGTGGCAGGCGAAAAGACTGGACTTTTTCCCGCCCATCAACTCAGGAAGCGAGTTGTTTTTTCTAAAAAAATGTGGGTGGACGGAATCATGCCCCACCTGGTGGTTCCATGGTTTAAAACCTAACATGTGGGTGTGGCTCAAAATTCGAGAGCTAGGGTTACGCAGACTGTAGATTTCGGTTCCATTTACCAAGGTGGCCAGTTTGGTAGCCGTTTTTTTGACCCACATCCGTGTGTTGGTATTTGCGTTGGGAAACATGGTTCCAGGCGCTTCTCGTTGCAGGTGTTCGTCCACAGTATGGGCGGCTTGCCTTCTTTTGAGGTACCCCATGTCTCCGTTTTAAGGGGGAAAGCTAGAGGAACACCGAAGCGTCTTGCTTTTCGGGGGGGGGGGGGTCCTACTATGGAAGATTGACACCTCGCACAGTCCCCCGGTAATTTCCTTCCCTGGGTCCCATGGTGAGACTGTGGCGTCCAAGACACATTTAGCGTTCAAATCCATTTGGCAACGTTCAGAAACCCTGGTGTTTGATGCGACTCCCCAACGTAGATTCCAAAGTGGTGCAGAATTTTGTCCATCCACAGGGTGGCTCACCCGTTTTTGAGTTGGTACCCCACGTTTGTGGCTTCGAAGTAACGCCGAAGCCGATTTTGGGGCTCGGGCCCCCTTAAAGCCTCAAAGCAACTTCAGAAACGAACACATACACACAGACCGTCTGTGTTTTTCTCGTGATGGAGACTTGTAGCCATGGCTTTTGCGGGTTAGAAAAACAAATTGGGGGTGTCCCTTCACAGGAGCAGACCGCTTTGACCGACTCTTTGAGCGATCGCGTCAGCTCATGGGCCATGGACCTCACGAGCATCCCAGCATTCCACATGGGAACCATCCAAAAAAACAAATGGGGGGAGGGTTCCCCTACTAAACTAGACGACAGGAAAAAGGTAGCCTTATTCTATCCTCTCTACTGCAGAACCTAGAAGATTTCCGAATCATCCAGGAGTAATGTAGCAGCAGAGTTTTTTCAAAAGTGAGGAATCACTGGGTCTGCACGGCTCACCAACTGAAGCCGCAAGCCCAAATTTGTGCGTGCCAAATATTGAGGCTCCTCTTCTTCCAGTCCAGAAAGCTCAAGGAAGCCCATTGGGGGAACCCCCGAGTGGGCTGTTACCTGTTGCTTTCCCTTCAAAACCACCAAACGGACACCATTTGGAGAAACCCCAAATGAGAGACAGAAACAAAGCCCATTGCATTTTTTTGCTTATTGTGGTTTAGTGGGGATATCGCAACTTTAGTGCAACAATGTTGAAATGTTTGCTCCCCTTCCAACGTCTGCTCCAAGCAGGGGGGTTTCATTGCCCCCGCCTGCCCGAGGACAGCCTCTTTGGGCCTCTTCCACGCCCTGGGCCGGGTGTTGTACTGCAAACGCCTGCGCCCAGGCCGAGATCGGCTGAAGCCGATTCGATCGGTTTCCGTTTCGGGCGATTCGTTTCGAATGGAGTCACTAGGGTCATTTGCGTGACTTGTTTTGCGGGGCTAATCAAGTCAGCAAGTGGTTGGGGGGGGGTTCTCTCTAAGTGTGACTTCTTTTTCTGGTTATCATGATCAAAGTCAGCAACTGGGGCTGTTTCCCTTCGACCTACACTTACGAGTTCAACCCGCTGGCCTTGGGACACAATTTAGACGACAATCCGGATCAATAAACACTGGTGGTGAAATATGAACCCAATTATTGTGTTTAATGGTGGTTTGAATCCCGGGCGGGAGAGGGCAACAAGTCATTGGTAAACCTTTATTCCATTTACCAGGGCCATATACTTTTCCAAAAGGACACCTATGGTAGGTGGACGAAATCCATTTCGCACCACTTGGGAAACCATAACGTTTGTTGGTATTTAATTGCAAGGGAATCGAATCATTCCAAGGCTTCTTAGGTGCACTTTATGGATTTGGTCCACCCACAAAATGGTGGGGGTCCGGGCTGACTTTCGCAAAAAACCAAGGGGCCAGTGGAACCGGAGGCCTGAAATCAAAATTCAACTTGCCGGGAAGGGAATTCCATATGGAGGGCTAATGGGTGTCTATGTTACCATTGTTATTATGGTTATTGTTATTGTTATTATTAGTACTGTTGTTACATTGCTTGGTTTAATACAAATACGTGGCTTTGTCGGATTCCTTATGCAGGGGCGTTCTAGGTTTTTAGAATGGACTCGTGTGATTTTATCGAGAAGGGGTGTCATAAAACTGGGGTGATTTCCCAGGACCTGCCATTTAATGTGCATGGCCCATGTTTGTCCCTGGACCAGAAATTACGGCCGAACCTGGAAAAAAACAGTTTTTTCTGGATTGCAAACAGAAAGAGAGTCAGCTTTCCAGGTACCAGCTGGTCTAATACAAATGCCTGGGTGTTTAGCAAAATTTGAAAAGTACCTTCCCAAGGGTTACCGTCCTCTTGGAAGGCCCTGGTCTTCGTGTCTTTTTTTATGGGTATCCCCGACAAGTTGTGGAATCCATTGAGATTTGTCCATTCAAGCTTCTCTTTTCAGAAGGGTCACGCCCATGAGGCAACTCGCGAAGGATCCATGAAGCTTGTGAGACTCCCCTGGTACAGCTTGGCAATTCGCGTGCGAAACCCTCTGGCGCCTGCCGAGAGTCACATGCAATTGGAGGCAGATCCGTGCGGAAATCCATTGACGCCAGTTTCCCGACTACAAGACTCCGCCTTTCCGTTGGGAGCTGCATCGACTTTGCTTCCCTTTTGTTCAGCCCCAACAATAGCTTCGGACCCCGCAAGTGGATTCTTCGTGGGTTTCCTTGGCCGAAAGATGATCTGTGGTGTCGCTTTGCTTTCCCTTTGAAGCCAATTCTAAAGGGTGCCTGGCATCCCCAAATGGGACGCTTCCCCGCCGCAGGCAGTGAGAGCATCGACCCCGGCAGGGACCTCAGGCTAATGGTTTGTTGTAAAGTGACTATAAACCGGGTGTACAACCCCAAGATTTGCCAAACACAGACGTCCAATCAGAGTTATTCAGTTCTTAAAATATGTTCGGTGATTAATGCTGGCTCCGCAACAAATCGGGGTGGATCAATATATTCCAGGCCCCCAAATGAACATGGGTCACTTTCTTATTCAGTGGGAAATGTCATATTGTTGTGGTTTCCTCCAATGGTCATCCCATGTAAGGAAGCGAAGCATGCGCCCCCCGCCCCCTCCCACCCCCCCCCCCCCCGGTTTTATCCACAGTTAGCATTACACTCAACCTGAGTGCGCTGGATAAGCAAGACGCTGCTCGTTTGTTGGGTCCAATTAGATGTCCCTTTTCTGTTTGATCTCTTCATTTTTCTGGGGAGAAGGACACTCGAGATGCAGCAACAATTGAAAGTTGCTTGCAGGAATTAATCTCAAGTGTTCTTGGAGGCCAGTTTGGTTGAAGTTTGATTGCATGCCAGCACCTCGTGAGGATGTCATAAAACCGGTAGACAGTAGTTTCCATAGGCATCCAGAGGCGGCCAAGTGTGTTCAGCTACGACTTTGCGACTGCGTCAGAGTTTGGCGATGCCATTTGAAGGCATTTAAATGTTGTTACCGTAGACTCTAAGAGGGTCTCCGGATCGCCCACCAAACGAGATTATATAGCCCGCATTTGGCTACGCAGTTGTTTTATGCAACCCTTCCCTGAGGGTGTCTAGTTTTGGCGGTAGTGAACACCTCAGAAACTACCTAAGCTTTGCGTCTGGAAGCTGGCAAGGTCCGTCCAAGAAAAAGAAGAAGACGGAAGGCGGGATTCAGCCGGCGCAGTTTTTGCGACGTGATCAAGGGTCCCCGCTTGGTTCTACTTGGGTGTTCGATTCGCCAAGTTAGTAAGTTGTCCGAAAGCTATAACCCACTTCGAGTGAGGTTCACCCAGTCATTGGTGGGTTGTAGCCCAGGTGGCTACCCGCTTGCTATCTTGGCCGAACGCCCAAGTATAGGGTCTGTCAGGGTTCTTGTGGGAGTTTTGTGTTACTAAGGGGGCCATGTGCCATGGGCCAAAGGCCCAAATCAGTTGCTTTTCCTTCCTAGTATTTTTTGCGCTCCCTTGCCCAAAGCCGACCTTTCTTTGGTCCATTTGGAGACAAGGTTCCAAAAGGTGAACCTGTTCTTCCATTTGCTTACTTGTTTATTCCCCCTGTCTTAAAGGGAATCTATCACTATTGATACTATCTCATTTTTCCAGGGGTTTATGAAAATGGAGGTTTTATTTCTGGCGTTCCTGTGGTTGAGTGAGTCCTACATGGTAAACCAAGGCCGGAGGGAAACAAATGCACGTACCAATCAACAGCTTGGACGAGTCTTTCGGGTGACCATTTTGGGTGGCTCGTCTTTTTTGAGGGGTCCCTTTTGGTTGGTTGTAAAGGGAAGCCAAAAGGACCCCTTTTTTGCGGGGTCCACACACTTATAGTCATTCAAATTCCTTTTTGGGTCTGGACTTGATTTGCCTGTCCACTCAAGTGAGTCAAAGTGCTCCAGTTGAAGTTAGCAACTACATTGGATTCGGAGGGCAACCGTGCCTTTGGCTGTCACCTTGCCGCTTTGCCGTTTTTGTCCCTGAAACCAACTCGGAGCCTGGTGGCCACACAGTTTAAGCTCTTGTTTCCTCGGCATTTGGAGGAGAGACTTAAAGGTAAGCGACCAAATACAGCGTCAAACACATGCTCGTGCCGCTATGTAAACCTTCCCAACGCCATTCCCAACTTAGCTGCGAAGGGCAGCCTGGACGGTTTAAGAGCACTGCGAAACCGCGGGCTTCCCCCGGTCCCACGAAAAAAACATACAGATTGATGTGACCATGATGTGACGCCCTCGTATCGGTCCCTGCCATGGAGGTTTACTATCCAAACAAAAACTGATGTGACTAAAGTGTCTGACAGTATCCGTTCCCAAGCTGTGATTCTTTGCTGAAAAAGGGATGGTTTTGGGAGGTACAGGAAATTTCAGGAGCCAAGTCCTGTTTCCTCGGCACTGATTTTCCCTTGTTTGCTCAGTTCTTTGCTGAAAATGAGCAACTGGGGTGACCCCTTTTTCTTTGCGGGGTCACTTGGACCATAGGTGACCTCTACTTGTTCTGTTTTATTTGTTTTTTCTTCACTGCTACCCTTTTACGAGTGGTTCTCAAAGGAAATCAAAGGAACGGACCACTGGATTGGTTGGGTTTCTAATCCGAAGGCTTTTTGCAGCCCTGTGAACGGCGGTACTTCTTGTAATCCACTGGATCATGGGCCGAAATCGAAACGGGCATCAATAGGAAGCCAACCACATCCTCATGAAACCTGTGTTGTTGTTTTTTTGCAGCTTGTTTTGGTTCGGCCTAAAGCCGTTCACTTGTGGGCAAATATAGGTTTACCCTCCAACGAAGATGGAAGGTAACGGGAGGCCCTTCGAAGATGTTATTCCTCTTGAAGGGATCATCATGTTATTGGCTGGAAGGGTAACCGGTCAAAGTGAAACTCTCTCCCTCCAAATGCCACCGTGCCTAGTCCCTGCCTTGTCACGCCTCATCGCTCTCTGACGCACCGGACTCTGGACTGACCCGCAGCACAGTGGGTCAAGTGGCCCTGTCCGTAGCGTTGGACTCGTAGTTGCATCGTTCTAGATTCTCCTCTGCGGGGTTGATCTAATAGCTAGGTTCGTGGTTTCATGTCTTTCTCAGAATTCATGGGCGTCCTTATTGGAACAGGTGATGTGCCTCAAACCATCATCCACCACCAATCCATCTAAGACAGTTTCAAGGAAATGTTCTCCAACCTGTATTACTTCTCACATACCCTGGTCAACGTATCAAGCGATCAACCCCCGACCGTTTCACCCTAGCCACCGGAGATGGTGATTGTGTTATGACTTACTGTTGTTATGCACAACTTCATCGTATAATCATATTTATGTGTATATATATCATATATATATATGTATACATGATATATGCATGAATAAAATATGTGCGCACACATATTGTGCACGCTTCTGTGTTAGCACCTTGTTCGTCGGAATTGCAGCGCCTGTCTCCGGTTGGCCACCCTCGTTTGGTCTGACGCTGTGCCGTGCATATCGCGCTGAGAGCAGCTCGGGTAAATTCAAGGGACGGACAACAGCTCGCCAACTCCCTGCACGTCCGTCCAAACCCAGAGTAGGTCCCCCAGTAGTGCCCTTTTACCCTTTTTTGGGGAGGGTTCCCCTGCTAAAATAGACCACTGAAAAAAGGGTGCCCTTACTCTAACACCTCTACTGGAGGACCTAGCAGATGTTCAAAGCCCGAGCTTTTCAATGTTCCTGCAGTCTCCATGTAATGGGGTCATGGACCCATTTTTAACGGGTCGCGGAGACTTGTTGGTTTCCCTTTTTGGGCCATCTTTAGTAAAGGTTTCAAAAGGGCAACCTTTCATTTCTACTCTTGTGTTCGATTCGCCAAGTTGGTAAGTTGTTGGTATAGGTTGTAACCCACTTCGAGTGAGGTTAACCCAGTCATTCGTGGGTTACAACCCAGGTGGCTCACCACTTGCTATCTTGCCCGAACACCCAAGTGGCGCCCCTCCAAACAAGGTGCGCGATTGTTTTGGCGTTCCCTTTTGACTTCTCTGAAGCGGCACAAAGAAGACCCCTTATCTCCGACATATGGGTATGGGTCGAAATTCCACCACCGGGGGAATTGCAGGTTTCCGTCTACTTTTCCATTGACCAGGACAACACATTTTAGGCCCCGATTAGACAACCTGGACAATTGACCTGGTGATGGGCAAACTCAATCGCAATCTTCTTACCGCTTGCCTCAAATTTGGGCTGTTCAAAGGCAATGAACCATTCCGTCGGGTGGAAAAAGGAGTTGCTCCCCTTTGTCATTTTGGATTGGCCAAGCTGGGTATCGAATTGTGCTGTTTGCCTTCACAGAATCTCACCAACTTCGACTTTGATTGGTTCGGCAAGCCCGTTTTCAGAGCCAGTCCACTCAACTAAGCCTTTCTACAGCTATTCCCAAAAAGCGGGTTCCCCCCAAACCCTGGCTGTTGAAAAAAGCCGCACTTTTCGAGGCACAGATGGAGCCTACTCAGCAGGACCGGCGCCTTCTCAATATCCTTCAGGGACTTCCAGCTGATCCTGCACCCTGGACGCTTCCCAGTTCCAAGGGTTGATTCCATATCTAAGATCTGGTTGTTCCTCAAAATTGGGGACGCCTCCAGGTGTTTCTTTTGGTTTCCCACGCAAAAAAATAAATAAAAATGTCCAAAACGGGTGCCCCAAGTTTGAGAACCCCCCCGATACTTGCCCCCATATTGTATGAGTTCGGGGTCGATGAACTATGGAACAGAGTCTGAACATTTGCAGCAAGGAGCATGAACTGGAGCAGCCGCGTAGCTCAGATGTCCACAACCTATCGGTGTTCCAGGATTCCATTTTGGGGTTGCCCTTTTTCAGGGCTCCCTATATTTCCCCTTTTGGTGGTTTTCGCCTTTTGGGTCAATTTAAACGGACCCTCCTTTTTGGTGGGGTGATGAGTCAAGGGGAAGTATGGGGAGCCCTGTTTTTGTTGGACGCACAGCCAAATGGGCTTCTTCCATAGACTTACTGCTCTGGTGACCCCATCAACCATCCAATTGATTCTGCCATCCGATGGCTGAAAATCAAGTTAGGAAGCTGAACATGGTGTGGGAGGGATTTCATTGGCACAAGTGTTGAACAACTGCTTGTTTGGGATTACCAGAGTTCTAGCTCAACTTGTTTGGAAGACAAATTTAGTGGTGAAGAAAAAACATGGACTTCTTTTGGCGAATCCACTCAGGAAGTAAGAAATCGTTACTTCAAAACACCCACAGAAGCCAGCCTCGTCATGCACAACAGCGGGACAGTAGAATGACCAAGTGGAATGACCCATAGTCCTGAACAGAATTCCATCACCACCAGGCTTCAGACTATGCTGGTCTTTGTGGCCGAACAGCCATTTGATTCTTTCACCCACCTCTTTGGTTTGGCACTGCTCCAATCAGCAGGGTCAACCCAAACCGGTTTCCCATGCCGGAAGCCACCCATCCATTCGGACGCTGGAGTTGAGCAATCCTGGGCTCGGTGGTTTCTTAGGGGCGAGGTCCCGCTGCGGGGATTTTCAAATTTGGGGCTTCCCGATTGAAGCCACCAAGGCCGGGGCACCTGGAGTCTCCTTCTGGCCCTTAAAAATGGGGTGAATACCCAAAATAATGGAGACTCCAGGCACCCTCAAAAAAGACGCGCCCGATTTTTGTACCCATTTTTTTCGTTTGGTGGATGGGTGGACCAGGGCTGAAGAACGGAGTAGTTTGTTTTCCAAAAGAAGGAGCTCCTCACTCCCCGAGTTCCTGGACTTCCAACTTTTGGGTTTGGACCATTTTAGAGGTGAACAACTTGGCCAATCCACTGGGAAAGCGAGCCTATGAGTGGCATTTTATTGTGGATGGCTATGAAATCCAGATGGCTTGTCACATTATTCGTAGGGCTTCATCCATCCCAACTGATGCGAACTGGTCCGGATTTCGATCATCCGCTCGGGAAGGGAGCCCATGATTCGTTCATTCCCCCAAAGAAGAACCTATCATACGTCCATTGCTTAAGACTATGTAATTTTCTCCTGTTGGTTTGACAAGACATCTCTCACTGGACGTATTTTCTCACTTTTCCTGTCAGGGCTGGGGCGGAGGGAGGGAGCCCAAACAAAAAAAGGGCTCAGTTGGGCTCCCTCCCCCTCGCCTCCCTCGCCTCCCTCGCCTCCCTCCCCTC